TCGCTACTGAAGCTCTACCGCTACACTACATGCCTTAGCCGGTTCTCTGCTCCGCTGTCCTCATCTTGGTTGAGTTCTCACAGCGCTTCTATAGGGCGGCGTGCAAACCTTATATTCACTTTATTCTTGAAATATGTCGTCGGCGGCACCGATTTTGTGATTGAGGAGCACATGACAGCTGTATATTTTCAACAGAATCTTGTTTTGAGCACAGGACCAATTCCCAATTCGAGAGCAGAACCGGTCATATCATTGCATCAATTTCTTGAATTTCTCACCCCAGCTTTCGATAAGCGGATATGATACCTACTCAGTAGAATTATTGATCTCACACGTTACGCCAAAATCTGTCTTCTGTGTCGAATCTTGAGAATATCTCCTGGATAGAGCGAATGGTCAAAATGCATAGAATGCAGAGTCATAACTCGACAATCGGCGAAGCATATTTACGTTCATGATGTCAGATAGTCCCAATACTTGTTTCTCGAACAACCAGCGCTAATTAGGAAAAGCTTATTGAGCATCACAAACAATATGGAATAAAAAAAACCCGAACAAAATCCCCGGACCTGGAATCAGGGTTAGACCGTCTACAGACTCAAATATCGAGCAACAGGCAACTAATAAATCCCACACCCATCTAATCATCTATCCGAGTCAGAAATGGAGGTTGTGAAGCAAACTCGGAAGCCTTTAGTCAACATTGTATCAAGATTCCTCCTCAAATCACGAATTGGCCTACTAGGAGCTCGTCACCTGTCATTTTTAGCTTGTTCGACGAAAAGCGCGCGCTATACCCGGGATACGAGGTCTCACCATGAATACCTTCATGAGTTGGATGCCCATGGCATGTTGCTGGCTCAAATATCTTACTACATTCCCTTTAGCGAAGAATACGAGCTATCCTTCTTGCAAGACTGCTATGATACCTTGGTGGAAACATGGCCGATCCTGCAGGGCTCCGTTGATATAAGGATGAGTTGTTTGCCGAATAGAAGTCTCCTTAACGGGGAAACCACTCATCGTTAAGGTTCTCCAGCGACGAGAGATAAACTATCATACGAGCTCCAAGATTCTTGGGTTTCAACCTATCAATATTGCACAACGTGATCTTGGTATATACGACCCCGTGCGCTCTGTGTGTTTCACGCCATCCTTATTACGCCTCCTTTCCAAATTGATAGCGAAGAAGGTCACCTTGGGAAAGCTGAGGCCCCGAGTGTTTGTTCTCAGCGTGACCAGGATGAAGGGGTGGTCTGTGATAGGATTCCATATTGACCATTCAGTGTGCGATGGTTGTGGTAGGCTCTGCTTGATTGTCTGATAGAGAACTGGGACATTTTGCTGATGCCTCCGCGGGGGTTCCCTCTTTCTCAGGATTCAACAAGATCATTCGTGCATACTGTGATATCATCCAAGGAGGAACACTTGGCCCCGACGGTAGAGTGCATGTGCCCGAGCAACTCGTTCGGAAATGGCAAGACGAGTGCATAGCTCAAGGCATTCGGGTGACTACACATGACACACTTACAGCTTGGATAGTACGAATAGTAGGTTCTGCTGTCATGAGTACTCGCTCAGCTAAGTAACCTGCGTTGACATCAACAATTCTGCAGGTATTATCAACATCCCCCGGCCCGAAGTGGCGGCCATTCAACATTGTTATCCCGATCAGGTTCCCCGCATTGCTCAGATACAGCTCATGCGAATGTACTCGAGAATAGCTTCATACTCTCTTCCCTGACTTTGAACCCAGAAGATGGAAACCTCTCGATTGCAAGCATCGCCAAGCGAATCCGCACGATGATCGATGCTTCCAGGCAGATCGACAATCTGCAGTCCGCCATTGACAAACAGGCCAGAAGCCGCTTCTCTCTAACATACCCCTTGACTAAGGAAGTAGGTTCTCCAGATCCGTGGCTGTCATTAACTTCCTGGAATGCGATCGCACCCGATGAGGTCGCGGCAGCAGCCTTCACAGCGCCTGGCAAGACCCGGTACATCTCATGTGACGAGCTGAAGGTTTTCCCTATGTTCGATCTCACGATCCCTAATCTGAAGAACGCCCCATGTTCTTTCAAGTGTCCGTGCGGTGGGTACTGGCTCCACGGGCCCCTTCTGACGCAAGCCTGGGATGCCGCCCATGCAGCCGTGGCTGCCGAGATTTCTGGGATTTCGAATGCGGATGCTGGTTCTTGTCTTGTAGATATCAAGTGCTAGGGATTTGCACGGCAACCACGCTACGCACCGTCCTATTGTGTCGTAGAGGGACGGCATCGAAGCAGCGTTCGTTCGGGTTAAGAGTAGAGGCTTACCTTCGACAGTACATTTGTGATGGTAATACATGTGGCATTTATATGAAGATTGTTCATCACAAAACATGTCAGAAAGGCACTTTACCATGGTCGATTTCATGCTTCAATGTATTCACCGCAAACTAGGGTCTGTCATCGTTTTGATTTCAGCGTGCGGAGTCCGATCATGTGCTATGCTTGAAGCCTGGAGTCGACGAGTGAACGTATTCAGGAAGAGAGATAGATTCCCAAAAGATACCGTAGGCGTCGTTATACGGTACCGATCTCAGAGTCCAATCTGATCTACAGCCCATCCTACTTTTATATGAAGTCTTGGCTACTGGACAGCAAGCATAACGGTATGCCCCCACAATAATGGCAAGCCCATATTCAACGGTCAATTAGACGGAACAGGTGCAATGAAGTATTGATGCAACAGCTGTCGAGCCCCTGCGTGCTTCCAGAGCACGAAAACAAGACCTTCACAGAAAGCCTTGATGAGGACGTGGATAGCTATCTTCTGACTATCTGAGCCTATCGGCGAGGGACTAGCTAGGGCTACCGAGGTGGGTGATGAGCGGCGGCCAGGGCGAGGCCTTAAGGACCGTCGTCAAGTCTGCTTTGAGAGCAGAATTTACTTCCTGCAAAACAATTTTCCCCTCTACACATCCATTTAGTGCTGACGTCGTGATCGAAGTGTGGGGAACTCGAGACGTATACGGCATAAGCGATATTTACTTTTTGTGAGTGATGAATGAAATAGATAGATCTATATATCGAGTCTTGAGATATGCTATATCTAACACTCTAAACACTCTCTTTAGCTCTAGATTCGCGACGGAGGAAACGGGCTCCCCAATGTGCGAATCGCCCGGCTTTAGTCGGTGTATAATCTCTATCACGCTAGTCTTCATGGCGTATGGCAGTTGCTGATGTTGATGCTGATGCTGATGCTGTTGATGCTATATATGGGGTGAATGTGCTTTCGTGACGTCGTGGCAATGTCTGTCGCTGGATGGATTTGCCTGGTCCACCACTTTTGGTGGAAAGGGAAAAAAGGACGGTGGAGATGGAAACTGAGTTTACAAGCTAAAGCTTCTCACTCCATCCCCAAACAGACCACCAACATCGCACCTCGAGGGCCCCGCCATCGGCCGACTCCCAATCATCGTAGCCAACCTCCTCGCCCTCGTCGACGACCGCCAGTCCGAGCTGGCCCATCCGCTGCCGGAAGTCCTGCACCTGCGGGAGGTACGCGTCGCGCAGGGGCATCTCGACGACAACGCGGGCGTTGAGCCCGCGGCTGAGCCAGTGGGTGACCGTGTCGACAAGCCACTTCGGGTGACTAGGCGAGTACAGCGGGTCGGCGGCGAGGATGAGATCGTACTGCTCGGCGGGTGCTGGGAGGGGCGTCGGCGGCACGGACCAGTCCAGCACGCCGGTGGTGACCGTTGCGCCGGTGCGGTTGAGTAACTCGACGTTAAGGGCGGCGTTGTGCGCGAGGTTGGGCACGATGGCGGGAAGGTCGGTGAGGTGGATGCTGGCGGAGGGACCGCGGAGGGCCGCAAGGGAGAGCCCAACAAGCCCCGTGCCGGCGCCGAGTTCGAGCGCGCGGAGAGTACGCTCCGGGTGGAGCTGCGGCGTGGTGGTGGTGGTGGGGACGAGTTGCGGGGGGGATTCGAGGAGGGAGTGCAGGCGGATGGAGAGGAGGTAGGACGACACCCAGGTTTTCATGCCCAGGTTGTCGCTGGTCAGAGATGGTTCATGCAAGGTGAGCGTGTATTCTTCGCCATGGGAGGTCGGGATCATGAAGACTCGCGACATGGCGGGCATTGCTATGTGGTGAGTGTCAGATCGGATCCTCTATTGACCCAGCCAGCCCTCTCCGCCGGTGATGATGATCACGGCTACGACAAGCTACATTTCGTTCTACGTACCGGTTCGACCTGAGCGCTCACTGAGTCTAGCCGCAGCGGCATCCCAGACAGCCTCTCGAAGCTCCTCGGTGTCGAGCCATGCCAGGGGACTCGAGATGATCGAGGTCAGATAGCGGGTGATACCGGCCGGGTGGACGGTCTGCGCCTTCACCGCTTCAGGGGCTGTGAGACCAAAGCTTCGCGGCTTTGTTGTCAGAAGACTGAGAGCCTGGATGAGTTCAGTGCCTGAGGGCTGAGTATGGATCTGAGGAAGATCGAGCACTGCGACGGGCTTATCAGTTCATTATCGCTCCTATCTATCAGGGGCTAAAGCGGAAGGGCAAACGCACCGTGAATAGGCTCATCGGGATCGGCGCTGATCATGATGTCGGTATGCGGAGGGACGGCTTGACTGTGCTGGATGCGATACAGGATGGTATAGAAGTTGGTGAAGCAGCTCTCTTTCTTTTAAGCCCCGGATCTGTGGCGAAATGAGCGATGGGGATAGAAGATCTGGGCCTGCAAAAAAAAGTCGAGATTACCCAAAGAGGAAAGGCTGGTGTGCGTTGTTCCGCGGATCGGATCCGCTCCGGCGGCGCAGTTGAACCTTCACATCCCGAGATAACCAGATAACCACGTTTTCCATCTGATCAAATATACACAATCTGGAAATAACCATCTGGACATGAAACAAAACATGGAACAGTCGGTTGGTATCTAACCCCAAACGCCCAAGCACCAATGCTGCAAGGTAAAAGACATTCACCCCCTCCGATCTCAATAGGCCGACTCAGCCCAGAGTCGATTTGAAGCCCATGTACGCTTGCTCGATGTCAAAGGACAATTCTCTAGCCTGATCCTCACTGAGCTCCTCGGTCGCTCGCATTTGATTCAAGGTGATCAGCCACTGGATAATCTTGCCCCGGTTCTCAAAGTCCGCGTCTGTCACCTTGTTGACGGACTGGATCACTTCCGAGAGCAGAGGGTGCAATGCATCTTTTGAGACCATGTTCAATTTCAGCGCATCGAGGAAAGTTATGAAGTTCTCGGTGGCTGTCAGAATCAAAGTGCCAGAAGCGCCGCCTGGCGGACCTGTTGCTGCCGGGGCCATGTTCGCCGCGGGGGTGCTATGAGTGGCTTGTTCCACTGTGGCGGGGAGCCCGATTCGTAGACGTTCAGTGGCACGGGGGCATTCCAACTAGAGACGCGCATAAACAATCAGCCATGAATAATCCAAACTGATGAGGGTATACTCACCCCCCATTTTCGCTTGAAAGTCTCGAGGTCGACGAATTCTCCGGCGACGATATCATCTCCCAAGCTAGACTTGTACTGCTTCAGTAGGCGAGTGCAGGTCTCCGTGTACTCCGATTCCGTGACCACGTCTCTGATATACGCCTTCTCAAGGCCATCCAGAGTGACAATGATACTGTAAATCTCCGCCAGGGATTCGTGAAGATCGCGCTCCGCCGAGCTAGAAGCTAGCTTCACTTCCTGGCATTGCGTAATGTGACCAGTCAGCCAGCTGCGACCCAGCAAGCAGACCGTACGGTTCTAGCTTACCTCATCGAGGTTGATGGACGCAGCCAGCGCCGGGTTAGGCGTATAGCTGTAAGGCGTTGGAGCATACGACAAAGGCCGTTGCGCGTACATGGCTGAAGCGAGTAAGTCGTGGTTGATTGACAGACAAGTGATGCTGGGACTGGACTGGCCGGTGTCCCGCATGAGGGGAAACCAACCCCCAAGGCGGTCACCCGATTAAAGTCACCGCTCACCGCTCGATTCTGCCGCAACATGTATTTTTTTCCGTTCTCCAGATTTTTTTTCCCGGTTCCCTGAGATTTCGCGGGATTCCTTCATCTCTTGAATTTCTTCCCCCCCCAATTCTACACCTATTTATCTCTCCACGAAATTCTCGTGAAGGGAACATTCCGGCATCATGGCTGGAAGTCAGAAGAAGTCCACCAAGAAGTTCGAGAAAAAGCATCTAAAGGATGTTCTCGAGCGTCGAAAGGCCACCGCCAAGATCAAGCAGCGCAACCACCTGAAGGAGAAGCGTAAGGCCGACAATGCGAAGCAACGCGCAGAGCGGGAGGATGATGCGGAGGAAGACACCGAACAGGTTCAGAAGCAGAAGGACTTCGCGGAAATGAACGTCGACGATTTCTTCGCGGGCGGCTTCGACATCCCCGATTCGGCGGCCGAGTTGAGCAAGAAGGGTCGCAAGAAGGCCGTCACCCCCAAGATCGGCAAGCGCAAGCGCTCCGAGGAACAGAAGGGCGAGGAGGCCGCTTCTAGCGGTGCCGAGGAAGATGGCAGCGATGCCGAGGGCAGCGGCCCCGATGACTTCGAGGCGCACAAGGATCAGCTCGAGGCATTGAAGGAGAAGGATCCGGAATTCTACAAGTACCTGAAGGAGAACGATGCTGAGCTGCTTGACTTCGGTGACCACGGCGACCTTGCTGAGGTCGACCAGCTGAGCGAAGAGGAAGAGGAGGAGGAAGGTCCCGCGAAGAAAAAGAAGAAGGGCTCCAAGGCCAAAGCGGAGGTGGAGGAAGAAGAGGAGGAGACGCAAGACAACACATTGACCCTTGAGATGGTCCAGAAGTGGCAGAAGTTGATGGAAGAGCAGCACTCGATCCGGGCGATGCGCCAGGCGGTCCTGGCCTTCCGCGCAGCGGCCTACGTCAGCGAGGGCAACGAAGAGCACAAGTACCAGATCTCCGACTCGAACGTCTACCACCAGGTGCTCGTCACGGCGCTCAACAACATCCCGCGGGTGCTCTCGCACCACCTGCCTGTCAAGGAGAGCGTCTCGGGCAAGGTGCGGATGTCGATGGACTCGAAGAAGTTCAAGACGCTCACGCCGCTCATCAAGTCGCACACCTCGTCGGTGCACCAGCTGCTGACCAACCTGTCGGACGAACAGACCCTGAAGCTCACCCTCTCCTCGATCGAACCCATGCTCCCCTACCTCCTCCAGTTTCGCAAGCTCCTGAAAGTCTTGATTAAGACGATCGTCGGCATCTGGGCCGACGTGTCCACGACCGAGGCCACGCGGATCACGGCCTTCCTGATTCTCCGCCGGCTGATGGTCATCGGCGACGCCGGACTCAAGGAGGCCGTCCTCAAGGCCTCGTACGAGGGCGTCGTCAAGGGCAGCCGCAACACGACCGTGCACACGCTGGCCGGCGTGAACCTGATGAAGAACTCGGCCGCCGAGCTCTGGGGCATCGACCAGAACGTCTCGTACACAACAGGCTTCAGCTTCATCCGCCAACTCGCCATGCACCTGCGCAGCAGCATCACCAACACCTCCAAGGAGTCCTACAAGACGGTCTACAACTGGCAATACGTGCACTCCCTGGACTTCTGGTCGCGTGTGCTCGCACAGCACTGCGACGCCCTGGTCGAAGCGCAAGCCGGCAAACCCTCGGCCCTGCGCCCGCTCATCTACCCAGTGGTCCAGATCACCCTCGGCGCGATGCGCCTGATCCCGACGGCCCAATACTTCCCGCTCCGCTTCCAGCTAACCCGCGCCCTGCTGCGCCTCTCCCGCGCCACAGGCACCTACATCCCGCTCGCCTCCGCCCTCCTGGAGGTCCTGAACCTCGCCGAGATGCGCAAGCCCCCGAAGACGAGCACCCTGCGCCAGCTAGACTTCAGCACGGCGATCCGGGCGCCCAAATCCTACCTGCGCACGCGCGTGTACCAGGACGGCGTCGGCGAGCAGGTCGCCGAGCTCCTCTCCGAGTTTTTCGTTCTCTGGACCAAGCACATCGCCTTCCCCGAGCTGAGCGTCCCCGTCGTCGTCGCCCTCAAGCGCTGGCTCAAGCAGGTCAGCGCCCGCTCCGGTGGCAACAAGAACACCAAGATCAACCAGATGATCCTGCTGCTCGTGCAAAAGGTCGAGGCCAACGCCCGCTGGATCGAGGAGAAGCGTCTCGCTGTCACCTATACCCCCCGCAACCGCGCCGAGGTCGAGTCCTTCCTTAAGGATGTCGACTGGGAGAGTTCCCCGCTCGGCGCCTTTGTTAAGTCCCAGCGGAAGCTGCGCGAGGAGAAGGCCGCGCTGCTGGAGCAGGGCCGGTTGGAAGAGGAGAAGCGGCGCGCGGAGGAGAAGGCGGAGGCTGCGAGGGATGTGATTATGGATGATGTTATCAGTGAGAATGATGAGAGTAGTGAGGATGATGACGACGATGAGGAGGTGGAGGTGGATGGTGTGGATGCTTCTTCTGATGAGGAGGGTAGTGAGGAGGAGGAAGAGGAGGAGGAGGAGGAGGAAGAGGAAGAGGAAGAAGACGAGGATGAGTTGGAGTTCGAAGAAGAGGAGGATTAGATTTTATCCTCGAGTTTTTTTTTCTTAATGTTGGTGTTTGTTTATACCTTATACTCTATGTAGCTATCGGGAAACCCACTGCTTGTTTTTTTATGTCAATATGAAAAGTTCAAGATCAATCCTCGTGCTACATTTGTAGATTCTTCTCTCATTTGGAAAAAAGAAAAAAAAAAATAGCCCATCGATGGCTCGGAACTTAAATAGCATTAACTTTTATAGCTATCGATATAGTCGGAAATCAGGAGAAACACACAATGTGGCAGAATATCAGAAGGAAGCAGTAGCCAAAACATGCAAAAGATCAAATCACGGACCCCAAGCAAATCCTCCCCTCACACAGGGCAATCCCACTCAGCCCAACAATTTCATACCCTCCAGTGCCCAGGATCTAAACCGATCCAATGGGCATCTTCTCCGCTCCCCACGCACGGGACTGCTCCCGCCGCATCGCCGCATCCTCTTCTTCCGCCCACTCCAGCGACTCACTGGGAAGCATGACGGCGCGATCGATGGCAACAGGGAGGCCCCGGTGACGACCCCGCAGGGTCACCGCCGCCAGGATCAGCTTGCTGATGGGGTGCCAGGCGCCGCAGAAGGAGGCGTTCGAGCCTGGGTAGCCGACGCTGACACCCACGCAGCCGTAGGCGGAGACAATCTCGAAGATGATGTTGAAAGTCGAGAAGGCGACGGGCTGCTTCGAGAAGTGGTCGGATTCCGCGACGCTGATCAGGAAGACGGCCAGCGCGATCCACCAGAGATCGTGGCTCAGCTGGGAGCGCAGCTGCTGGTGGACAAAGTAGCTCCGCGAGGCTTCGGGGCTGGATCCGTCCCGGCGGCCGAGCATGCGGTGTCGGATCAATTGGATCACGAGGTTGGGCTGCGTGCGCGATTCTTCCTCGCCGTCGGTGGGCTCGTGGGCAAAAATGCCTAGGGACCGTTCTTCGTAGACGTTGGTGGTTCTAGATGGTTGTTAGAATAGATTGACCCAGTTGTAAGGGACGGCTAGACAAACCTCATAGTAAGCAGCACAGGGTATGCTGATACATACTATAGATAATGGTTAGTCTATGGCACAGCTAAAAGCTTTTTTGAAGAACGAACCATCATAAGAACTAAGAGATGTTAGCATTTGTTGACAATGTAAAGTTCGGAAAAGTGCCTACCATATAGGACAAGCAACCCCTGACGGAGATCGGCTATAGTCACAACATAAAAACCTCCCGCACGAACAGCTGCAGACGAAATTGCTTAGCTTAGGCTCAATGAACAGACGGTTTTGTGCAACTTACCAGAAGCCTGGAATAGACCATCGAGAACCCGATAGGCTGTGGGTAAGCTTTCAATCTCTTGGTTGCCAATGGCGAGAACCTCGAAGGCCGCCCAGTCTATAGCGTTGAAAATGATAATAGTGGCCAGGAGGAACCATGTATGGCGTCTCGGAAAGAGGTTGGTATACACCTTGACGAGATTAGTATACTATGCATAGATAATTGTAAGTTGCACATACTCTTCGAGGATGATCAAGGATGAAGTCCAGAGTGACTCTCCACGTGGCCCACGATGGGGAGTTTGGCAGCACGCATTTCATGACCCAGATAATGAAACGCAGGAAACACGGATAAAGAGTGTTTCCGGCCAAAATAAGAAAGCTCATGGTGAGCAATGGGTAAGCACTGATGGAGTCAGCTGACTTCCGAGGTATAACATCACGATAAATAGAAATACCTTCTTTGAAATGCAACCATGTTGGCATCCAATAGCGACATGCCGCTGTTGACGAAAGCGGATACCGCGAAGAAGGCGCCTGTCCAAAAAGGCGACAGCCCGTTTTCTCGGGCTTTTTCTGAATGATTGACAGCGACCCAAGTGCCCATCCCAACTATTCCACAGATGACAAACACGACCCAGTACAGAGTCACAATGACCAGTAGGAAGGACACAGCTCTGTACTCAACGCCTCCTAACTTCTCTCGCTCCTCGGGAGTAAGCCCGTGGAATTGAGAATTGCGTGAAATGAGACCCTTGGACGCGAAATACTTCTGCGTTCCTTTCAAAATGCCTTTGAGCGCAGGCATATTGTCTTCTTCCTCTTCTCGCTGTGGCGACGGCGGAGCGACATCCCGAGGGTGATTGTTCAGATCCATGCGAGCCCCGACCCCTACCATGGGAAAGACGCGATGATGGTGCTGATGTCGATTCTTCAAATGACCAAGAGTGACCTGGTCATCATCGATCCAATGGATCTGGTCCTCGTCTGAGGACGACGCATTCGCTTCTGCAGCTGTGACACGGGCTGCCACCGTGATCTTAGATTTGTCAAGAACAAATTCACCTGACTTAAGTGACTGCTCATGCTCTTCGACCCGATTCTCATTGATGGGCTCCAGTCGAGCGATTTGGCTCGAATTTTCAGTCGACGAAGCGCTTCTTCTTTTACGCTCATCCACGATATGTTTGAACTTGGACTGGAAGGCATTTCTTCGAACGAAGAGCACCGTGATGGAGATCATAATTCCGTGTCCCAGCAGGAGCAGCGCGAAGAGGATGGATTGCTGGAACGAATTCAACTTGGACAAATCCACCTGGACAAAAGTCAGAGAAGATTCTTGACGGGACTGGACTCGAGAAATGCTGGGAGCGTACAGTATTCAGCCCAGCGCCAGTCATGGCACTGACGCACATAAATAAAGCGTCGACATATGCAATACTGCGCGCAGGGGTGGCAGAACCCCAGAAGATAGCACTGCAGATCAAGGGTGTCGCAATGAAGTAGGCATAATGAAGCGTGAGGAAGTTGAAGGGCGGAAGCACCGCCATGATGCTCCGTCCGAGGAACCGTCGCGAGTTCCAGTCTGTGATGATGGCATGTTAGCAATTGTATGTCAAGTCAAGGTTGCTGAGCCTCGGGGCATCATGTCTTAGGGCTGTTCTAGCCTCCAGATCCTACTTGCACCTTTCCAGACGCAAGGGATGGTGAGACAAAACATAGAAGGAACATGGGCCCGATGCTATGCAAGGCATAGCATAAACTTACTTGTCATCTTGATGGATCAAATTATCCGAGTGTATTGCAATTATAGAGGGATGAATTAGGCCTCGCTGGCAACGAAGCGGGAGCCCTGGCCTCGAGCTACCGGCTTCGTTTATCGTAATGAAAACCACTCGAGCTTTGGTGGTTGGATGTCTCTTATTTGGTGATTGAGAGGGGAGGGGAAGCGCACACCGCTACCCACAAGGACTTTGCAAAATCTGTATCAATCGTAATTTTATCCGAAATTTCATTGTTTGAATCCTTGTGTGATGTGCTGTAAAGCAGTTGAAAGAAGTCACCAACGGAGAGATGACTCGGAGAGTAGAGAAAAAGTGGTTAAATTGGTGATGAATGGTGGTGGTGAGAATGGTGGGCGGAATTGTGGCGGTTGTTGTATAGTAGTAGTGATGAGTTAGTAGTATAGGAGCGGCACAGCTAGCACAGGGATCGGGAAATGCCAGTACTCAAGAATAATCAGGAGTTCCGTTATCGACAAGATTAGGCAGGCGATTTGATAGTGCAGTGTTTGATTGGCGTAGATCTTTGCGAATAACTTCTTAGTTAAACAAAGGTTGGGTCAATAATCGGGGGCAAAGCGTATGTTATTCCATTTTTAAAAACCTTCACGGTAGACAAGAATGAGTTGGTTGAAAGAAGAGTTAAGAATTGGGAACCGGAAAAGTCAAGAGGGAAAAAGGAACAGAGCGAGCGAGAGAGAAAAGGGCAAAAAGTTTGGTGTGGAAAGGCGGCGGGCCGAGAATCCAAAACTACACAGTAAGGCGGACTTGGCTTCTTCACCAACCGTTGGGCCACTCGTAAGGCTGGCGATCATCGATCAAAATAAAACGGCCAATACACGTCACTCCAACCCTTGGCACGATAGAAAATTCGATGCTTTTCGACTGGCTTGATTACTCAATTACTCGAGTACTGTCTTTCAACGAATAAATTACACACATACCCCCCATATCCATCAATCAATCGGCCTCATTCAGTTTCTCCAGTGCCTTTGACCACTTCGTGGCGAACCCAATGCCCACTTTTACCCCCCTTTTTCTCCAACAACTTCACGCCACCGATCACCATGCCCTTATCCACCGCTTTCAGCATATCGTACACTGTCAGGGCAGCTCCCATCGTAGCAGTCATCGCTTCCATCTCGACCCCCGTTCGTCCCAGGCAGCTCACGGTAGCCGTGATGTGCATCGCCCCATGGCCCACTGAGCCGTCCGAAGCACGCGCTTCCGCAGCATCAGGGTCCAGTAACCTCACATCCACCTCGACGCCCGTGATGCCAATCCCCGGGTGACAGAGGGGGATCAGATCCGGGGTTTTCTTGGCAGCCATAATGCCGGCGATGCGGGCGACACTGAAGACGTCTCCCTTCTTGGTACCACGGCCCTCTCGTAGTATCTCCCACGGCCGCGGGTTGGAGAACTGCACCACACAAGTAGCTGTGGCTTGACGTTTCGTCACCGGCTTCTCTGCAATCTTGGTCATGTGCACGTGCTGCGAGCTGTTGAGATGGGGCAAGTCTGGATCAGAGGCTGTGGAAAGGGAGATCTTGGAGTGTTCTCTTTCCAGATCTGGGTTTGTCCGTTGGGAGTCTGCAACAGACGGGTTGTCTTTACGGGCACGAGAGTAATGTCGAACTTGTGCGGCAACCTGTGGACCAGAGGAGAGTAGGTGTACAGGAATCCTTCCCCATGCAGGTGATGCCAACCTGGTTCGTTGACTGTACGAAGAAGTGGCATTGATCGAATTGCCCGTAATTCCATTATCTATAACCCATCCATCAGCACGCATCCCAAAACCTCAATCATCATGTAGTTTCCAAAGACCCCCTGGTTCACGAAACAGACTGAGACACCTTCTGCATGCATTGATCATAATTCATGAAAGTCATTCGCCCAAATGCAAATATCCAAAAGAAAAGGAGGCCGCGCCTACCCACCGATGAGGATCATAGGGCGGTTCTTCATGTTCTTCAACTCGCCCATGCCAGCATGTTTCGCTTTCTTCCGTTTTACCGCCATGCCAATGATATCGAGCAATTCTTGTTCTCGCTGTGGGACTTCAGTCGCGTTGGCCGCAGATTCCAAGAGTCGCAGATTCTTCATGGTTTCTTCATCAATAGGCTCGCCGTTGTTCTCTTTTCTGATGATATCGCGGAGCGACACCTCTGCATTGCCAAACAAGCAGACCTTGAGGTTCCCGTCACAGGTAATGCGCAAACGATTACAGGTCCCGCAGAAGTTGTGGGTCATGCTGGTAATGAACCCAATCCGACCCTGAAAGCCTGGCACTTGATACGTTTTGCTAGTGTCATTCTTATGATCTGCAGCCTTCTCCAGCGCGGGATACTTCTCCCGAATGATAGCCAGCATCTCCTGGTAGGAGACCATCTTGCCCTGGCTCCATTTGTTGCCGTCAAACGGCATGTACTCGATGAAGCGCACCTCGATGGGATTTTCACGCCCCATTTCAATGAACGGAATGATCTCCCGGTCGTTGAGCCCGCGCATCACAACACAGTTGATTTTCAACTTGATTCCCGCCCCCAACTTGTTCATCTCGAGAATGCGGTCGATGCTCTTCATCACAGCATCGAAGCCTTTTCGCCTTGTCATAATCTGAAACTGAAAGGGGTCCAAGGTATCAAGACTGAGGTTAACTCCAGTAAGTCCTGCCTCGGCCATGGCGTCCAGTTTGCGGTGCAGGGAGATTCCATTCGTCGTTAAACATAGCTCTCGGAGACCGTTCCGCCGCAGCTCGCCGATGGACTGCATTAAGGGTACGATATCCTTCCGAACGGTAGGCTCACCGCCAGTCAAGCGGATCTTTGTGACACCTTGCGCGACAAACAGCGACGATAGATAGACGATCTCGGGGGTGGTGAGGAGGCGGCTCGGTGGCGATAGCTCTATACCTTCTTCGGGCATGCAGTAGAGACATCGAAGATTGCAGCGCTCGGTCACGCTTATTCTGAGATAATCATGTTGACGGTTGAAGCTATCAGTGAGGAACTCCGAGAAGGGTTTCGCGGACTTGAGAGCCGACCATCGCGACGTGGAAGACTTCGAGGATGGGGAGATTTCAGTAGTGGGCAACGATGTCGTGAGTGAGTCTGATGCGGTAGGTCGATCAACCGAGACTGGGTTGGAGTTTGTATTGTGCCTTCGAAAGTGTGGCCGAATAAGCGTGCTCGTTCGGGGCTGACATCTGCGGGGAAGTGAAAGAAGGGGCGCAACTCCCCGCCTGCGCAATAAGAGTTCATTCATCCTCGGCAGGGATCTCGTTTCAGCGGGTATCAGATTCTGGCATCTTGCTGTACCTGCGAAGCGCTATACAGGTGCGGGTGCATGCAGGTGAAGAAAGCAGGGACTCGAGAGATGTTTGTTAAATGAATGGCTGAGGGGGAATGTCTTATCATCGCGGGCGCTGGGATTCGCCGCCATCTCCGCGGGTTTTCGGGGTTTGCCGCTAACCAGTGGGTCACGTGCTATCAGTATATCTTTTCTTGACATCGACCATTTGACAATAATAACGTCGGATCTACTGAGCAGAATCTTAATATAATTATCTGACCTCTTAGCACACGAAACTACGGAGGAGCCCCTTAGCTCATTGTTGGCAGCATTTTTCGAACTGCCTTCGCCAAGCTTCGTTCGTACTGCTCCACACCTTCTTCTTGCTCTCGGAGCTTTCCTGATTTCAATACATGTACGACACGTCGTTGGCTGGAGAATGTATTCGATGCCTTGTCCTCCTCAGATTCCTCGTCTCTGCCTTCTTCCAGAGCTCGCTTGCCTTCAATCACGGAACGTACCATATATCGGTCATGGGACACAAGCAAGATAGCCCCATCGAAACTAGAAAGTGCAGCAGAAAGAGCCGTCACGGTATCGAAATCCAAATGGGTTGTAACTTCATCCAGTATTAACAGCTGTGGACGGGTCCAAACGACCCTCGCCAAAGCTAGTCGAACCTAATCGGTTAGAGTTATTCAATCACCTATAGCAGAAGGTTGGGTTTTTGATATGTCACTTACTAGTTGGCCTCCTGAAAGTCGACAGACGGGTACATCAGACACAACTCTACCCTGGAGACCTAATGATGACAGAAGACCTCTGAGTTCGCCCTCATTGAGTGCGCCATTGGCCTCTGATGCCATCAGCGTTAACGCCGTCATATCAAGCTTCGACCGGCCTTGTTCCTGAAGCTCTTCGATGGAATGCTGTGCATAGTACCCGTGCTTCAGTCTCGGATGTCTCATTATTTTGCCATGTGTCGGTGCTGCGCTGCCAGTCACGAGACGTATCAGCGTCGACTTTCCGCATCCGTTGAGACCCATGATGCCCACACGATCTCCCTTGTGCATCACCAGTTCGATACCATCAAGCACAGAGGCCTGCTGCTTGTTGTATCGGAACCCAATTCCTTCCATAGAGACCAAAGGACCGGGGAATCGTAAGTCGGATGCTGAGGGTAGAACAATGGACGGTTTTCTCTCGTCCACTGGCACCTCGATCTCTGCCCGCGCGGTGAGGTGAAAACCAACCAGGTCCCGATTCAGCTTGAAACGGCCGCCGTTGGCACTGACTTGTACGCCCATGCGATTGTCAATCTTCTTCTGTCGCGACTTGGCCTGACGTAATTTGTTCTCGTCACCTGTCTTCTTGCCTGCCTTGATGTTCTCGCGGATGGTGGCCTCCATGTGTGCGGTTTGGCGTTCCTGTGCTTCCTTCATGCGGCCCCAGCGTAGCTTCTGGTCTTCGACGTCTTTCTCGTACGCAGACAGGTTTCCTCTGAAGTAGGTAAGCTTCTGGTCTCTGAGGATAATAATCTCCTCGCAGACGGCATGCACGAAATCTCTATCGTGCGAGACCATGAGAATTGTTGTCTGTGAACTTTCACGGAGCCCTTGGAGATAGTTCTCCAGCCAAATGATCCCTAAGAGATCGAGATAGTTGGTCGGTTCGTCGAGGATCATGATATCGGGAGATTGTATCAACACGCTAGCCAGCATGCATCGCATCCGCCAGCCGCCGGACAACTGGCAAACAGGCTTGCAGAGTATCTCTTCGTGGAATCCCAAACCACGAAGGATCCGACGAGCTTGCTGCTCAGCATCGATAAGTGTCATCTAAAGCATTTAGTGATCAGTAAGGGTCAGGATTGAGATGATGTCGAAACTCACAGCCTCAACCTTATACTGCAACTCTTGCAGAACCTCCATTGCTGCTTGCGTGTCTTTCTGTATCGTGTCGGCATCGATAGATTCCTTCGCCTGGTTTAACCTAGAGCAAGAAATGTCTTTAGCTCAATTCCTTCTTGACTCAGATCCTGAACAAATCCTGAAACTTACAACTCCAGCGATGCCTCCAATCTCGCTTCAGCGGATCTCAATTCTTTCCGTGCTTGTAACCCTCGCGCTCCACTCCTCAGATTGACCATCTTCTGTGCTATGAAGAGCTGCTTCTCCACATCATCATGGCGTACTGTGCGAATAGCCTTCACAGGCTGTAGCGGATCGTCGGACTCGAAACTCTTAGACAAGACTTGAAGGGTGTATACGTCAGGAACACTGCGGCGCGAATACAAAATGCGAGGATTCGCGGGACTCACTATTCATCTTCCTCATGATTTCATTCTTATATTCATTGCCTGCCAGCACATACTCCAAGATCGGCAGATGCTGTCTCTTGTCGCTCCTATCCTCTTGAGCTTCCTCATCACTCCCGTCATCCGTCTGCTGCATGATAGCAATGCGCGTAGCATGTGGGATCCCAGGTACCAACTTGTCGGCGATAGCTCGCAGTAGTGCTATTGAAGAGAGAATCAGTATTCGTTCATGGGCCGTCCTACCACGGATGACCAGGGCCCGTGAGGACATTGGTAGACAACGCACTTGACTTTCCAGTCCCATTACGACCTACTAGTCCATAGTGCACACCTGCTTTGAGACGCAGATGCGCATCAGAGATCAGTTCTTTCGCTTCAGCCTTGGCCTTTCGTTTCGATTTGAGGTCTGTTGCGGCGGATTCGGCATGGTTTTGTGGCGATGATACCGCGATGGTGATTCCTTCTACATCCACCTATCGTACTCATGAAGCTAGCATTAGATATAAACGCTTGAATGCAGATAGACATGGGTTAGAAAAAGCTACCTCTTTTGAGGCTTGATCAAGGACGTGGAAGCGGGTTTGCTTGCAGGTTGCGATTATTGTGGGATGCATGATAATCATCGAGGTAAGGACAACAATGGTGAGGGTATATTAGAGATAAGAGAGTGGGATTTTGTCCAGCAAGATCGATTCCCTTGTGAGTGGTGAACGCAATGTCTCTGGAGATTGTCTCATCGTATACTGCCTGTATATATACATCGTCCACGTAGTTCATGCAAGCGAGCGATGAACAATGTGAATTCCGTCGCCAAGTCCACAACTAATTCGCCATTAACCAAGAAAATGATTCGGAGTGTTTCTCAAGGAGACTAAACTCCACTGTTTTGGACCTTTGAGTCAACCGGATGTTAATTATTCTCTGATGATGTCTCTCAAGACTATGGAAAGTGCCGTCGGGGTCCGAAAGAGGAATAGCCGCTGCGTATCATGGCATGGCTTTCGCCCCTTGACAGCCGAGGCTTTGCTCTGAACACAGGGACTTTCCTGCAGCAGTCATTTTCCGGTCCTCTTTGACGTTGCCATTCATGTTGATGTGCATAGGTTGGTTTAGGAGAAGACTTGGGCGCTGTCCTATCTAGACTGAGTTTCAGGAGAGACCATGAACAGCCCATGGTTGCGAGTATTTGGCCAGTGTTGCAGTGTTGAATGAAAACAGGACCGACATTTGTTTCTTCCGACCTTCTTCCGAAAAGGAAGATTCAAGATCTCTCAAAGACTATATGCTGGTCTGCTTCAACTGGCGTACCATCATGGCTGCCTTCCAAAAACCAAGATAGTGACTAAGGCATGTCCTTCATGGACCACCGGGTAGCCGAAGTCGACGCGATAGACCAGAAGATGTAAAGAAGCGTTGATACCAACCTGACTCGCTTAGATACAGTAGGTTTCAGGGACGAAGAGAATCTTTACTATGATCGAGCACTTAGCCATGGAACCAACTGGTGCATGTAAGGGCAGTAGTTGACAAGCTGACTGAATATTGAAGAGCATCAAATGTCGCCAATGACTTGAATGCAGCTACGACAGTTTGTGTGTCCAAGTGAGATATGCACAGGTCAACACTAAACCAGCTCGAGTCTTGAATCCTGAATGATGGTTCTTTGATCTCGTCGTTGAAGTTATAGCATTCCCGAAAGCCCTGGAGAATTGTTGAACAAGTCGAACACAAGAGGCCTCGAATCTGCCATGCAATGTCTATTTTCTCGCTTCAAGTCAATCTACGTCTGCCCCGGCCTGAGAACAATGAATACCTCCATGCAGCTCGCTCACCACCAATGATGACATATTCCAATGACATACTGCAATATATACCTGCCTTACCGCATCAAGCGTCTATCGAATACTCCATACTGCATTAGACGTATTCGCTCATTTCTCAATCGATCGAGCACACCCAAGCATAACAATATCCAACGTGATGATGATGATGATGATGATGATTGAAACAAGGTACTGTACCTAGACTCTCCCATCGGCGACCACGGATAGAGGGCCTCGATCTCCCCGCGTGGCAACCGAACAACAAGAATGAGATCGATCGATCAGCCATCCGAGAACAATAAGTGATATGATTCTTGCATCACAACGCCCCAAAGCCTTTCTTTTCGACGAGTTCCAAATCTGATGTCAAACGGACAACATCATGACTTCATCCTCGTTACCCGGAACACTTATAAGGACCAGCTCAAGAATGACCAGAGTCTCAAATAAATCCAAGGAATAACCAACCTTTCCCAACATCTACCAATAACTTTACTACAAGTACTACAAGAGCCTACTATACACCATTCCACAAACCAACACCATGGCCTCCAACACCAACCCCGGAAACTTTGCCAACCGCTCCCACGAGGAGGTTCAAAACATCGCCCGCAAGGGCGGCCAGTCGAGCCACGCCGGCGGGTTTGCGAGTATGGATCCGGAGAAGCAGGTATGTCCTGATCCTCCATCCTATCTCTACATGTCGAACTCGGGAGCCTTGACAATTCTGACAAAGTATCTCAGCGCAACATCGCCTCTCAGGGCGGCCACGCTTCCAGCGGAAGCTTCAAGCCCGGCGACCCCAAAGCCCGTGCTGCGGGACAGAAGGGCGGTTCAAAATCCCAATACGACCAGGAGACTCCTGATGAGTAAATTCTGTGTCTAGTTGACGGACGGGGATTATGATGATTATGTTTTGAGATACGATTGACGATGTAACAATATGATGTATGACTATTGATATTTTATCGTATTTTATCGGACGAATGCTACTATCGCCACTAGTGTGAGCGAGTGATTGATCTTTTTCTTTGTGTTGAGGGAATTATCTGGTCGCATTCCTGGCTCTGATTTGTGCGTCAGATGCAATTGGTAGATGAACATGGCAAAGTCGATTCGATTCGATGGCAGCAACAATTGAGTTACTTCAAAAAGTTCTGCTGAGGTAATGGTGGAGAGATCTGCAATACGTCGTGAAGACATCACTCCTTACAGTTACCCGAGCCCTTGCCGTTTTCAGTCATTCTCGCTTTTCTCATCATCTGTAGGAAGAGGAGCATGCTCCTTCCTCGTCTCAGACTTTTTCTTTCCGCAATTGAGCGGTTCGAATTGCAGTATGAACTTTGTGATTGTGTGGTGGTGGCAAGTCGCTGCTAGTATGGAGCTTCGTCGTATTCTGCTCAGCCACGAGAAACCGTGTCCGACGCTTAGCTCGTTCTACGGACGGTCATATGTGTCGACTAGCTTGTACCTTTTTGGCATATGCGCGGAGGTTTCCATTGACCATGATCTGCCGATAGTCGAGTTATTTTGGTGATCTCTGCTCGCTTGAACCAATGCGTCTTGAAGCAAACGACCGGGACCAAGTGCCGTACAGTAGACCATGTACTAGTATTCTCCGGCGAGCAATAGCCGAAAAGTGTGCCCATCACAAGCCCAGATAGGCAAAAGGAACGCATGAGTATGGATCCATTGTGCGAGTTAGCCTTGTAGGGCCGAGTTCCAGAGGCAGTTTCTGGCCGACGGATGCTGCTGGCAGAACACTCTAGACCAGTTACGGGACGTCAGCATAAGTCGAGATCTTCATCAGGGATTGCCAGTATTCCATCTAAGCCTGATCAAATGCCGCTCTCAACTGAGCATTGTTCAGGAGACGACTCGCCACGTGAGTCTCTGCTCGTGCGAGAACAGCGTCAGGAATGAGCGTCTCGGCCGCAGATCGTTTCGGATAGTGTCAAAGAAAATCTAGCTCAAGCACATACACGGTAGAGCTTGAGACTAGAATTGTCTATCGTGTGGTTGTGGGTGGTTTCTTTCTTCACGGCCGTACTGACTAAGCGGCAGTTGTGATGTTGTTTGGGACGGGGATTCGTCTCAATTTCCTAATAAGGTTATCGTGATGCTGCGGCTAAGGGTCAGTTTTGAGGCTTAAGGGGGTGGGTTGACTAGGGTCACGGTTCCATGAAAGGAAAATTTTAGGCCCAGCCAGCTTCAAGCCTACTCATAGTCTCATACAAGCCCCCTTCTAGTGTGTCCTTCTAGAAGGTTGTCTAAACACAGAAAAGATGGAACTCTGGACTTTGGCTAGGCCAATGTTTGATCTGAGTTTGCAACATTGTTTGTGTATTCTTCAGTTTCGAGGCTCGACCAGGAAATAGATTTTCGATCAACGGATGAGACTTATTCCACTGTGCCAGCTTAGTCTTACAAAGTTTTTGTCCCAGATTGGTCTGTGGTATAAGGTTGGCACGTTTTAGATTCTTGTTACGGCCGGCCGAAAGACCTCTTGAACAATATGATCTTGCAAAGCGCACGGGAAGGTCTACTTGAATGGGATATCATCTGATAACCCAGATGAATCAACAGCAGTGCTGATGCGCCTGGTGTCACAACTCTACACAACATACGGAGTAGGGCCGAATGACTTGCTACCAGGCTGGAACCTGAAACGGCCCCAGAATAAGGGGTAGGCGGGATTTCTGGCTTCTGCACTCCTGCTAGACGAGCAGTGGGGCCCGAAGCGACGGGAGAGGTGCCAGTAAAAAGCAATAGCGCCGAGATTGACGCCCATGCCCCGACAAGTTGAGCGAATTCGAGACGTGAGGGCGAACGGAGCAAGAATTAGCCCTAATCCGAAACGGGCGTCAAGTGCCGATTCTTTGAATGGTGCAGAGTGGCTAAGCCGCTAAGCCCGCGTTCACCCGCCAAGCTTTTCTCGGTGGGAACTGGGAAAAAGACACTTGGTCAGGCCAGGTAAGGCCCAGCAGGGCTGTTTATCCACCCACGATCCATTTCCCTGGATGACCTTACAGTGTAGGGTGTGCAGGGGACTAGAACAATTGGAGAGGGAGTCGAGATTCATGACCCTCTTTGGATCACTCCATTGACCTCACCTGGAGGATACAAGAGAGTGGGTGCGCTGTCGCAATATACAGGTTGCATACTTGGTTGGAATCAGAATCGGCGTCAACTGCGTGGTTCGAGCCCGGAAGTTGGTCCCCATCACCCCGGGTTTCATCCCATCGATGGTGGTCGATTTGCTTGCCGACGTCCCACTGCATTCGAACATCAGGATAGGTTTGCAAGTGTTGGAATTTGCGATTTATCCAATGCATTTCTTACTACTCCGTACACAGTAAGTAAAGAGTTACTTGGTACACCCCAGCTGTATGATGATTGAAGGAGTTTTTCATGAGCACTCGGCGGATGATCGCCATTGGTTCGAACGAGCCACTAACGTCATTAAGTCAAAACTTATCTGGATCAGAATGTGAACGATGTTGCCGAAGGATCTCCTATTGGCCACCGCATGTCGTGGCATTGAGATCGTACTCCTCGGCCGCCGTTTCAGTCAATCGAAAAATCGCCTGGATGCGGCGTAGTGGCACAGGGGAGTGGAAATTAATGTGAAGCCGACAAGCCGTGGCCCGTCAGTTGCGCGAGGTTGCGAGAGAGAGTTAGGGGGGGGAGAACAGTCAATCAGGGGAGGAGGAAAAGATGGACGGCCCTGCGAAAACTTGATGGGGGCGCACATACCTCCCGCACTGGATGGCCCTCATTCCTTCTTAATGAAGGAGTATTCTAAGTTCTCCCTTCCTTTCAGACAATTTTTCAGTCGATGGTTGACATGATCTCATTTGACTTGAATCAATGTGACAAAAGGCCAGATAGACTGATCCTAGAGGCAAGAGAGAAAATGAGCATACAAGCTCCGTAGTAAACAAAAGTAAACATGCAATCTTATCAGAAGATCTCCTACTTACTATGCATGCGGTACCTTTTTTTTTCACCTCAATCAGGTTATTTCGTCTTGATTATTATTGAAGGTTGTTTTCTGCCCTTCCGGGGGGTGAACGGCTCACTAGCACCACCAGCACCACCAGCAGAGTAACGGTGGAACGAGCTAAATTGTTCTCGGTGGAGCCTAGCGCCAAGGGTGGATCCGCTAGCCCTGGCTTGACTTTGTCCAGCCAATGGAAACCTCAATTGGAGCGGGGCTCCGAGCAACAGCTCCGCTGAGTCATCAAAGGACGCGCAAGCCTTTTACACCTGATTTCTATTCCTGGTCCTTCTCACTTGAGTCTCCTGGCGCCGTTCCCTCTTCGTCTCCAGTTCACCTTTTGCAGTCTCGAGTCTCCAGCAGCCAGCTCCATCCATCCCCATAGACGGGGCAACCTCTTCTACGCCTGCATCCCTCATTAATTCCCTCTCCCCATCTCACCACCACCGCCTTCCTCCTTCACACAACATCCCCCCCTACTATACTGATCCTCCATTCTTCCTCTTCCCATTGAGTCTGCTTTTACTCTTGTACAATACCCCATTTGCCTCCTCACATCTGACCTCCCAACCACACCATATTCTCCCATCTCTCGACTGCGAGCCCTTCCCGACTATCGCTTCGACTCGACTACTCCTCATCGTCTCTCGTTATTCCTATCCTTGACCGACCCTTGTGACTCTCGTTTGCATTCGACACTGACACTGACTGAGACACCAATCCCATCGCTATCAACGAGTCTTCTTGACTATCGTCTCGCTTCCTCCTTACCAACCACAGTTTTGTCAACATGGCTACCTTGGCGGAACACCCGGCTGTCGCGCCTTCAACCTACGAACAAGACATTGAATCGTTCCTGAATCTAGACCAACTTGCTTACACTACCGCGGAAACTGCTCGATCAAAGACCGCACTCATCACCCAACCCACTCTGCCCAGCACTGAATTCAACGCAGGCGATGTACGAAGTGCTGGTTTCGCTTCGACAAACCCAACCCCAGTCGCGTTTCAGGCCCCGAGTCACCAGTATGACGAACATAAGCAACAAACCGGCCTGCCTCCGGGCGCCTTAGCTCATGCCATGACATTCAATCACATGAATGGAATGGCATTTGGTGGTGCAAGCCCCAACTACCCGATCAGTGGTGATATGTTCGCTGGTGGTCAGATCAAGCGCGAAGATGCTCCGATGGATTTCAACAGCCCCCCGACACGGAACCCTTCCGAGATGGACCTGGAGTCTGACAATATGGGAACCGCCTCGGCCTACTTCCTTTCGCCGAACCCTAGCAACAGAAATCAATTCGTGGATCCAACCGCCTTGAGCGGTCATGAGGTTGTTCCCGCTGGTCCTTCCACACAAGTAGGTCGCATGTATCCTGGTATGCACCAGCAGCAAGCTGCCATGGCCAAGGCGGCACAACAACAGAGACATCATGAATTCCTCCGTCAGCAGCAATTCCAGCAGCAACAGCGTCGATTGGATGAGCATATGCATCAGCATGGGGCTCCTCACAGCCAGACTCCTCGTCCACCCAACCCACTGGTAGAGGAGCGGATCTCGCGGCTTTTGCAGCAGATGCGTCAGAATGCCATGGGCTCCCCCGATGATTCGCCGTCTCCTTCTTCATCTCTGCCTCAGATGGCCAAGGCCAAAAAGGACGAGCAGGACATGGATGAAGATGAGCGCCTCCTGGCCAGTGAAGAGGGCAAGAAGCTTAGCAGCAAGGAACGTCGCCAGCTCCGCAATAAGGTTTCCGCTCGTGCCTTCCGTTCTCGCAGAAAGGGTATGTACCAATGACTTTTTCTTTGAAAGACAAAAATAGAAGGTTTGTAGCTGATAGAATTCGCAGAATATATTGGTCAACTCGAAAGTGAGGTGGCCGCCAAAACCAATGAAGCTCATGAGCTTCGTCTTCAAAATCGCGCCCTATTTGAGGAGAACGGTCGTCTGACTGACCTCGTTCGCACGCTCCTGTCTTCGCCTCATTTCGGCCAGGTTCTGGACGAACTCAGCGTCGGCGGTGTCCCGATGTCCAACCAAGCGCAACCACAGCAACTTCCTCAACACCAACATCAGCCGCTGCCTCAGCCTCAACAGCAATCAGCACACCCTCAATCACAACCTCAGCAACAACCACCCACCATGTCACAACCACCTATGCAACAGCCTTCTCAGGTTGGCATGGTCATGGTTCCAAACCAGGGACTTGATGCTTCTGCTATGGGCATGAACAATGCTGGTTGGAACTCGGGCATTGATATGAACTTCGGCAATGCCTCGGTCTTCGCCGTACTGGAGGTCCCTGAGCCAATTATCGACTCCGAGTCTTTGTCTGGAAAGTCTTCCACTTTCATGGAGTCTTGCCTTCCCAACATCTCTGGTGCAAAGAGTGAAACTCCTGTTCTTGAGTCTCTGCCCGTGGACGCTAAGGGGCCCGTCACTGTCGGCGTCGAGAACCCGGATGTTAAGATTGACGAGTCTGATCCCGCTTTTGCCCTATTCCTGGACGCGCCCCGTGCTTCTTCCTCGGATTTCCCCGCGATCTCCTTTGGGAGTATTTCAGAGAAGCTGACAGCTACCTTTGAGCTGGTGGTCGAGAACCAGCCTCAGGACTGCGACACTCGGTTTGCTCAGTTCTGCCACAGTATGGAGGCCGCCTTTGAACGTGTTTCCTTGATGACTTCTCACCTCTCATGATTCCCCTTTTTGCAACTTGAATTTTACAATTTTGCGTGATGTAAGCCTGCTCGTGGGTTGGCTTTCCGAAATACTCAGGTGTAGACACCGATGTCTCTCTTTCGTCAATGATTTTCTTCTCAAGCTCTCATTCATCTGCTTAAAATGCAGTCTCTTGCACTCAATCTGGGTTTCCTTTACTTTCCCATTTTTCCATTTGTTTTCTTTCCTTTCTTTTCTTTTTGCCTTCATTACCTGCCTCTAGATGCTGGAGGTCTCGAATGCGCTTATGGGGTTATATGGATCGGTCTATTTGGATGCGAATTTTTTTCAAGGGACGGACTTACAGGATGGAAGGTACTGGGTACTGGCGGATAAGGAAACACAAGGCACTCAATACAGAACATATTCAAAAGTTGCTATCAAATATACTGTAAATATGATTGGAAACGAAGCCTGGACCGTCGTCGTTAGAAGTATTTACATGTGTACCTGGTGCTCAGCTATGTAGTACTAGTCGTAACTTGGTACATAAGATAAGGTGGTCACTTGGCCAATTAGGTCGATGGAAAGCAGTGCGGGTGGAGCTTTTCCCCGACTCGATCGCCGCGGCAGCTTTTGTGAATTTCTGCTTTGCCTTTCCTCCTTCTTCAATCAAGTCATCATAGTCGGACAATCGGCCTAGCCCGGCGTCCTTCTTTAGTTCTAAGACTTTAAGACTAAAGACTATGACTGCCAAAGGTCTGACGCATGTTCATTAGTATTCATTCTTGCTTTTGTTCCACACTGGCTTCACTCCGACTCCTTAGGAGGCCGACCGCCAGCGCTTCCCCACGAGTTGGCTTCACGTCAATATCTCCTCCCTCTACCATTCTTCCTTCCATCGTACGCCTCCGGAATACTCGCCACTTATACTACTCCCAACGACTTCATCCGGCTCTTCGATCAAACCTCAGATACAGAAGTCTAGTCGAACCAAGGCATCTCCTCCCCGTTCCTCGCCTCGTTGATCCCGGATCCACTCACCAGTACATTTTCTACGAGCACCAAGACAATCCAATCAAGGGCTTCACTTCAGACCCCTCGATAGACAAAGTCAACCCCATGAAGTACTACTATCAAGTGGTAACGACGCCGACGGCCGACACCCCGGGCAGCGCGGTCGTTCTCAACTTCCCCGATAAACGCTACCTCTTCGGTCAGGTCGCCGAAGGAACGCAGCGAGCATGCGCGGGAACGTCGGTCAAGTTCGGTCTCATGACCGACATCTTCCTCACGGGCCGGTTGGAGATGAACAACGTGGGAGGGCTGTTCGGTGTCATCCTCACGCTAGCCGATGGACTGGCCAGCGCAGCAGCCAATTTATCGGAGAAGCAGAAGAAGAAAGAGGCAGACGAGCGGCAGCAGAGGCCGAAGCAGGACCCCGCTGCGGGGAAGGCAGGTGGACTGCCTATTTCATACCCGGGATGCAAGCGGATCGCGCAGAGAGGGACCCTGACGGTTCACGGCGGGAAAAACCTCACGCACCTGATGGCTACTGCGCGCAAATTCATCTTCCGCCAGGGTCTACCCATGTATATGCAGGAACATGATGGGGACAGCCTGGCTGAACAGCGTGGGGGTTTCCCAGACCCATACGAACAACCGACGTGGTCAGATCAGAATATCAAGGTCTGGATCATGGCCGTGAGCCCTGAGTCTCAATCTCAGTCCAAGGGCAAGCGCACAAGGAAGCGCAGCCACGAGGAGTTTCGCGAGGAGGACAAAGCTGGGGTCGAGGAGGAAAAGGCTGCAGCGCTAGCCGATCAGGTTATCAGACAAAATGTGGTATCGAACATGTTTAATTCAACATGGAAACTGGATGCTTTACATGAGACTAAATTAAAAGACGTGCAGATGCCCGGGCTCATCTTTGTCAGGGACCCGGTAACCAAGGATTTGCGACGGTACACCGGCCCGGCTCCTGGAGGCCGCACGCCGGTTCCTGACATTACCGTGCTGGTGCGCAAACCTTGGCCTGGTGCCAATGTGGAGAGGATTCCTCCCGTGTCTTGGAACGAAGAGGCCATCTCTTACATCGTCCGGAACCACAACATCAGAGGGAAGTTCGACCCTCTCAAGGCTCAGGCTCTGAAGGTCCGTAAGGGCCCCGATTACGCCAAGCTGACTAGAGGTGATAGCGTTATCTCAGAGGATGGTCAGATTATCACGCCCGATATGGTTCTTGATGAGGAAAAGGTTGGCAAAGGTGTCGCAATCATAGATTTGCCTTCGCCAGCCTATGTGGAGAACCTGGTCAACCGCCCTGAGTGGGACTCACCTACGGCGGCCTTGAATCTGGAAGCTTTCATCTGGATCCTGGGCCCAGGTGTGGGAGATCACCCTAAGCTTCGCACATTCGTCGCGAAGATGTCGCACTGCACGCATACGGTCTCCAGTCCCGATTACTGTCCCGATTACCTGGCCATGAAAGAGGTTGCCGAGTCGACGGTGCAGATGGCCATGGTCAGGCCCGACAACTATGCCCTGCCTGTCTATGACAATGTGACTGTTCCACAACCCAGGCTCCTCAATGAAGCAGTGGTCCCATCGAACGAACGTGCCCCCTTGCGACCTCTAAAGCCGGGCCTGATTATCAACATGGAGCCCACTTTCGAGGTCGATGAATCTGAGGTTACTCCTCAGTATGATCCCAGTAATGCCCAGGAAAAGTTGCCGAAGGCCGTTGAGGCTCGAATGAAAATAATTTCTGGACAGGAAGAAGCTCCGGAGTTCCAGGATAAACTGGCAGCGTTCCGCAAGGACCTTCCTGGTGCTGACGTCGAAATCATCACTCTGGGAACTGGGTCATCTGTACCATCCAAGCATCGAAATGTCTCCAGCACGCTCATTCACGCACCAGGCAATGGTTATTACTTACTCGACTGCGGCGAGGGCACTCTTGGACAGCTCAAGCGCGTCTTTGGACCTGAGGCATTGCGCGAAGTTTTCCAGAATATGCGGATGATTTGGATCAGTCATCTCCACGCTGACCACCACCTTGGTATTGCGAATGTGATCAAGGCCTGGTATCAGGCAAATTATCCCAATGGTGTGTCACGGACCGACGTGATCGAGGAAGACATGTCCAAGATTCTACGGGATAAGCGCCTGTTCGTTGTATGCGAACAAATGATGACTACTTGGCTCGAGGAATATGCCAGTGTCGAGGATTACGGCTTCCAAAAGGTGACGGCTTTGAGCGCTTTTCCCGAACAGATCCGAAGCGGTATTTTCGAGACATCATTTGCCTATCGTCACTGCCGCGCCGACGGTACCTTCCCTGGGCAACGGGAGGCGCAATCTCAACCCAAGACAACCAGGCTCCGATTCCAGGATGATTCGGACCCCCTCTCGGCTCTTCTCCGTGAAGCCATCGGCCTTTCCGACATCCTACCGTCCCGAGTTTCACACTGCCGTGGATCCATGGCTGTGACCCTTGTGTACCCCGATGGCTTCAAGCTTTCCTTCTCCGGCGACTGCCGTCCTTCGGAGAACTTTGCAGCTACAGGCCGCGGCTCGACGGTTCTCATCCACGAAGCCACTTTTCAAAACGACATGGCGGGGAGCGCGATAGCTAAGAAGCACTCCACGTACGCCGAAGCCTTGGAAGTCGCGCGTCAGATGCAAGCCCGGGCCCTCCTCCTCACCCATTTCAGCCAACGCTACCAGGGAAATGTCGCAATGAACAACGGCCAGTCTTCGCAGAAGGCCCAGGACGAACCAGGTTCGAACAGCTCTGCCAGCCTGCGAACCAAGGACGTCCCTGATGATGAGGAAGGGCTGGTTGAGGAGAGCAACCCCCAGCTTGAGGGCTCGAACGAAGACACCGGCGGCGTGATCATTGCCAAGCCCAGCACCCAGTACAACGGGCCCCACGTCAACGCCTTTGACTACATGCGCCTCCGTGTCGGAGATTTCCCCGTCCTCCAGGCTTATGTACCGGCCATGGAGACGCTGTTTGCGATCCTGGAGAGAGCTGCAGCGGAATCTGCGGAGAAGGCTCAGCAGCAGAAGCCGGCAAAGAAGCAGAATTCGAAGTTGAAGCCGGCCAACAAAAAGATTGAAAAGACCGGAAAGGCTGGAAAGGCTGGAAACTCTGGAAACTCACAGAGAATTGGAGATAGGGGTGCCAACCGTTCCCGCAAGGCTTCCGCCTCCGCGGCGGATGAGAAGGATGTGGTCGCAGAAGCTGGAACGGCTCAGGAAGATGGAAACCCTGGAATTACAAGAAGTGTTGGGATAAGAGTTGAGAAGGCTGTCAACCGTGCTCTCACAGCTTCGGCCTCCTCAGCCGACAAGATGGAGATTGAAACGAGTGCCAACAGAGCCGAAAGGGCTGAAAAGCGCGCTGCCAGACATGCTGCCAGAGCTTCCTCCCCCCCAACCGACGAGTCCGATGAGGATCGCAACGCCAGAAGAGCTAACCGGGCTGAAAAGCGCGCTGCCAGACGCGCTGCCAGAGCCTCCGCCTCCGCCTCCTCGGCCGATGAGATGGAAGTGGACTCGGAAGCAGGAAAAGCCAGAAGATCTCGCAGCCCTAGAAGAGTTACTGCCAAACGTGCCGGCAAGACTTCCGCCTCCTCCGCTGATGAGATATAAGTGGACACCGAAGCGGGAAAAGCTAGAAGATCCACCAGCCCTAGAAGAGCTACTTCCAAACGTGCGGGCAAGGCTTCCGCCTCCTCAGCCTCCGAGACGGACAAGGACGCCAAAAAGCCCGGGGCGCGTTCGAGGTTGAAGTCGCGTGCTAGTGGGGATGAGAGCGAGTGAGAGCCATGAGCGGTGTTGAGGGAGATGCAATGTCAGTCCTAGGGCTATGGCATCCATTCAGTGCATGAAGAGTGCTTGTTTACAGGTCCGACCTCGGCTGTTCCTTAGGTATGGGTTGGGCTTTGGGAGAAGGGAGAGATTATAGCATTTATGCTTATAGATACCAGGTCTCGTTGGGGGTGTACTGTACATAGTTCACCTGTATGTAGTATTGTAAATTGAGGAGACAAAAAGTCCGGGTTCTTCTTCACTTGAATACGCATGAGCTATAGTGGGCTTCATTTCTTCCTCTCGGTTGACAACCTCTTATCGTATAACTCCTAGTTTCCCCGATAGAGCATGCACGTGGGGAAGTTTCTTGAAGCTTTACCAAAAAATCATTAATCTATACCCTCAGGGACCCAGTTCTTCCCCCATCCTATATAACACACACTCGGAGCGTCTCTTCAGGTCCCCCCGTCTCTCTAGCAAGATTTCCTACCATACCTGGTCAATCAATATAAGCAAAATTCCTTCATGTACACTAGTACCTCCACCACCACAAAAACTCTACATGATCCACCAAAAACGGTTGTACTTTTTTCCCTACGTTATGGTTTCTCATACTCCAGCGGGAACCTTCTCGCGGTCATCCTTGCCGAACAGCCCCTCCCCAAGGTTCTGCATGCACTCCTCGCCCCAGTTCTGCGGCGTGAACTTGTCAACGATCTCCTTGAAGGCATCCAGCGTGCAGAAGGTCTCATCGCCGGGGAGGTGGTTCTCGGGCTTGGCGGCACAGCCGGGGACGCGGACGATGCGGTCGTTGTAGCGGATGCGGACGTAGTGGGTGCGGAGGGATTGGCGGGCAGAGTCGGGGAGGGCGGCGAGGGGGACGCGGTCGGTTTCTGGTTGGGACTTTGTGGAGGAGGAGGGGAGGAGGGAGAGAAGGGAGGAGCTTCCGCTTTCACTGGCGGCGGCGGCGGTGGTGGTGGTGTTGTCGTTGTCGGAGGCTTTGGAGAAGAGTTCGATGGCCACGGAGGAAGTGAAGGGGGGCCATTTGCTGTTTCCGAAGGCGCCGACACTGCTCAGGATGGCGGCCAGGGTGGTGTCGTGGCAGCCGCTCATGGCGAACTTGATGGCTTGGCTTTGGCGGTGGTTGGTGGCGGCCTCGCTGCGCCAGCCCCCGGGGGCGACGGCCGTGCTGACCATGCGGTCGACGACATCCCCCATCAGCGCGCCGATGCCCAGCTTGCGGTACTCCACGCTGTCGGTGTAGCCGGAGTACCACTCGTCCACGGCGATGCGGTCCATGTACTCGCGGGCTTTGGTGTCGTAGAACTCCTTGGGGAGGCGGGTGGCGGGCCCGTGGGCGTCAGTGGCGTTGACGGTGTCCATGATACCGGAGAGGCGCGGGTGGGAGTCCACGGCGACGCGGGGGGAGGTGTCGGGCATCCATTTGGACCACAGCTTGTTCAGGTACTCCATTTCGTCGGTCTCGTTCCCTGTTGGTGGTTAGGGTGGGTTATCGACGGGCAACGAGACGGTATAGGAGAAGAGTTTTACGTACATCGAAGTGCGGCCCTGTCCGCGAATAGTCGGGAGAGTTGTCTAAAGCGACGGCAGTTGCCCTCGTTGGGGAACAGTGTCTCTTCCGATACGGATCGTCCTACGATCACAGGGGGCGGGAAGTCCTGGGTGCGGGCATTGGGGGGATATAGGCCCCAGAAGGCTTGTTGAAGGGACTCGAGCGCACGGGGAATGGGTGTCGCACGGAGGTACATGTCCTCAGTGTCAGATTTGATCTTGGGCAAGAAGCCGAGCTGGTCGACGTAGAGATGGCGGAGGCGCTGGCCCAGTGCATAGGTTGTCTCGCGTCCTTTGTCGGTCAATTCGCCGTGTAGACTGTTCCAGACGGTCAGCAGGGCTTTCCCAACCCTAATTCCGATCTCACTTGCCAGATACCGTCCACCTCACCCGATGCGCCGACTGCAGCGACGGTTTCATCCTTGCTGCCGAAGGACTCGTGTTTCCGACGCCATTGGAATCCGTTCCAGGTTGTGAGGTCCTTATTGCTCGCGGCCATCTGGAGCATCTGGCGCGCGACGGTGCAGTATGACCAATCTATACGAAGGTGGACAGAGATCGTCAATTGAATTGTTCCTAGAAGAGGTACTGGTTCCAGGAGGTCGACGTACATGGGGCGAGTCCTGCGTTTTGGAATCGCGAAGACACGGGTGTTCGTTCACCTGTACGTTAATTAGTGAATTGCCTGATCGAGTACATATCCAACGGTAAGTCCTTACCATGACGAAGGAACTGTCGCTCGTTATTAGTCTCCCGACCTTGTCTGAGGCGTTGCTTGGGTGCCACTCACTACTTGGACCAGTTGAAGCTTCAAGTCGCTGGGGTAGAGGCGCTCCAACTCCTCCTGGGAGTAAGGCTCGCGAGGTTTCAGGGTAGTCATGACGAGTTACTAGACAGCACTGATGTGCCCGACTCAGCTCGCAAACTCAATGGGAATAATAAGCAATGCGAGGAGAACAAAGGGAATGAAAACAGCTGCAGATGGATCGTCCAGCCTCGGCGAGTTGGCCGAGGCGGTGATGACGCATGAAGGCGGCCGGATGCGCCCCGACCAATAAAGCTGCCGCCATGTGTTGTGTTGAAACAAACATCACAAACATCCAACGGCTAGAACGGTTAGGGCGGCAACAAAGGCGGTATGAGATACGGAAGGCGGAAGCAATGGGCAAGAACCCAAGAAATGAGGTGAAGTTGTGCTGCCGGGCTTATCGATGCAACCCACCGCCGGTGTCTCTTTGCCATTGCTCGCTCCTGCTCGGCATTAACCCATCTGCTTCACCCCGCTGATACCCCCGCTGCCGCTCTGAGCATCCAGAACATTTGTTCGAGTAGATTCCCTGAGAACACGGGGTGATATACTTGCTAAGACTCATCTAAGACTGCACACGCGACACTCGTTGCATCCCAAGCACAGCCCGCTTATACTATCCGCTGCCGGATGGTGGATTCAACTGAATCTCCGCTGTGACCTCCTCTTGCCTTCTTCTATTCTACTGAACCATTGCGCCAATCATGGCTATCATTAACTGCTGAAATCTCACTTTTCTTGTGCATATATCACTTTCGACGGGTTTAGTCCACACTTTATAGTCCCTGTCGTCACCTGACCAGCTGCAAGTCCGAATTCAGGTTTATTGGCTGTACACGCGCACTTGGACTCGGTAGATGCATGGATTGCCCCGATCTCATCTTCTCATCTGCGACAGACATAAGTGACTACTCGGCTGATCTATCTACCGCTTCTCCGCCTCGCCTGTCGACTCAATTGTGGTGGGTCTAGATCGACGCTCCTTTCCTCGCTTGATGTGCAATATTTGACCTGGAAGTTGGTCTAACTTTCTATACAGTAATTCATCCCATTAATCAGCCATTGATAACGGCCGCTGCAGTATGGAGGTACGAGCTCTCTTTTCAAGCTTTCTCTCTACCCTGTCTCGATGTATCATCCCTGGCTAGACTTCGTGCTCCACGATTGGTTCATGTCCTTTTGTGACATTTCAGAGCCCTACGCATGTGTGGATCAGCACATAGCTGAGTAGTCATGGAGAGAATCTTAACTGCTCGGGGTGCTGTCTTGTTGTGACTGTCAGATGGAACCACGTGACCCGCGCAATTCCAGATGGCATTTAATGTGACCGTGGTGTGGTCGCTTAATAGTATGGTTTAAGGCCATTGCTATCTCCTTTGCATCCTTGGCTTGTGGTTCTTATGGCTCTGGCCGGCTCAGAAACGTCTTCGCATCATGTTTCCATATAATTCGTCTTCAATCATCCGGCTAATAGCATCTGTTGCAGAGTACTAGTCAATTCTTGCCTGAACAGGTCCAGGCGAAGAACGGCCAGCTTTCAACAAGTCAACCGCAAGATGCTAAGCCTCGTCTGATGCTAATGGGTCTCCGTCGGTGGGTGCCGGTTCTCTGTAAATCACCATAGCCACGAACCCTAATTCTCTACAGGAGCGGCAAATCTTCCATTGCTAGCGTTGTGTTTCACAAGATGCCCCCAAATGAAACGCTCTTCCTTGAGTCGACCACTCGGATACAAAAGGATTCGATCCAGTAAGCAACTAAATGGGTGCATAGTCTGACTCCGCTGACACGCTCAAAAGCTCCTTCATGGATTTCCAGGTCTGGGACTTTCCAGGTCAGCTCGAGTATCTGGAGCCATCTTTCGACCTCGAGAATATTTTCGGGAGTCTTGGAGCACTTGTTTGGGTCATTGATGCTCAGGATGACTACCTGGACTCCGTTGCACGTCTCAACCGCACCATCTTGACCGTACAGCAGTACTATCCCAACATCAATATTGAAGTCTTCATCCACAAAGTGGACGGACTTTCTGACGAGTACCGCACAGACACCTTCCAGGACATTGTACAGCTGATCTCCGACGAGCTAAGCGATGCCGGATATGAAAATGCTCCGGTTCACTACTACCTAACCTCGATTTACGACTATTCTGTCTTTGAGGCTTTCAGTAAAGTCATTCAGAAGCTCATTCCCAATCTCTCGACTCTGGAGAACTTGATCAACACGCTCGCCAACAACTGTGGCTTCGAGAAGACTTACCTGTTCGATGTCTTGAGCAAGATCTATATCGCATCCGACACTCGTCCCGTTGATATGTCATGCTACGAGATGTGCTCGGATTACATCGATGTGATTGTGGATATCTCCGAGCTGTATTCCTGGGACCATCCAGATCGCAAAGCCAAGGGTGAGCAAAATCAAGAAGCTGAGAGCCATGTGGTACTGCATGACGAAACAATGATACATCTGATGGAGATGAACAAGTATGCTGCCCAAATTCTTAATAAGTAATAAGGCGGTGGTAACTAACATCTGCTAGATACTTGTGCCTGGTTTCAGTGATCCGCAATCCAGAATCCAAGAGCAAAAAGGGTCTCATTGACATGAATTGCCGGACCTTCCAAGAAGCCCTCAACGATGTGTTTTCTCGCAGCTGGGAGCAGGAGCAGGAGCAGGAGCAAGTCTAACTTGATTATTTGGATTGGGGCTGTGTTTGATGCTGGATTATGGCCATAGCCGATTTGTATGTACTATCTTATATCGTCTATACCTGACTCGTGCTTGAGGTCTCTTGGTGGATTGTTCATGAGTACCTGGATGCCAGGTCAACACACGGCTTGTGTAGAGTTGTTTTGGTGAAGTGAACCTCCGGTAGTGATCACTTTGGACAATCAAGCATAGGCACAAATGGTAGCCTAATTAGAAACAAATATATTAAGATTATTACCACTTTTGCCGGTAGCCGGCCTAATATATGTTTCCGAATACGAACTGGTACGCCGGCGTACGCCAGGTATCAGATTCTCTCCTTCCAGTAATATCTGGCCCAGTTAATGCATTATTAATGGGCATAAAAGTAGTGGACGAAGCGGTACTGGCAATTTCCCCAGTCACACCATTGGCGAGGTGGAAACAAACTCAAACCGCGAGTGCGGAAAACCTCCCGCCAAACTGGAAACCACCTGTCATAAAATCATAAGATCAAAAGTTGCTCTTCCACTTCGACTTCCTACTATCGGCACACCCAATTTCTTGCATGATAGACTCTCTCTTTCGGGACAGAGTTTCAATGGCATCGGTTCAATAAACCACCTTTCCCATCCAGTACACCTACCTACAATAGAACCTCCGGCGAAGACCGACCACCACAGCCACGATGTCCGAAGTCCGCCAACGCCAGAAACCCAACAACAAGAGCACCACCAAAGCCGGGAGCAACAACAGCAACAAGAAACCCTCCAGCAGCAGCAAAAATGCCCGCGGCATCAGCATCCTCGACATCATCCGCGTGCTGGCCACGCTGGTGATCGCCTCATGCGGTCTGTCCTACTACATGACCTCCTCGGAATCCCTCCTCTGGGGCTATCGCCCATGGTTTACACGACTCCCCGTGCTCATGCGCTTCTTGGTGCGTATCCTCCCCCCCCCCCCTGCTCGACCCCTTTCCCTTCCTCTATCATCCCGAATACTGACAGCAGGAAAACAGCAAGGCCCCCTAACCCTGACCCCCGCCCAACTCGCCCTCTACAACGGCACCGACCCGACCCTGCCCCTGTACCTCAGCGTGAACGGCACCATCTTCGACGTCAGCGCCAACCCGCTCGTCTACGGGCCGGGCGGCCACTACAACTTCTTCGTGGGCCGGGACGCCACCCGCGCCTTTGTGACGGGCTGCTTCCAGGAGGACCTGACCTCGGACCTGACGGGCGTCGAGGAGATGTTCATGCCCATCGACGACCCCGCCGAGCTGGCCGCCCTCCCCTCGGGGGAGCGGAAGAAGCGCCACGAGCAGGATGTCCGCTACGCCCGGAGCCGCATCGACCGCGCCGTCGCGCACTGGCAGGGGTTCTTCCGGAATCATAAGCGGTATTTTGAGGTGGGGAGGGTGGTGGGGTTGGAGGAAGTGGTTGCTGCATCCAACAATAAGGAGGGTGGTGCTACGAGGGAGTTGTGTAAGGCGGCGAGGCAGCAGAGGCCGACGAGGAAGCAGGTGCTTGAGGCGCAGGCTGCTGGCAAGAGGTGATTTTGGTTGGGTCGTAGAAGTTGATGTAGTAGGGAGTATTGCCGTCATTATAGGTTGTTTATGTATAATCGAAAATATTGGTGGTCGTGTCGTGCAGTCGCTCAAGTAGCTGCCGATACGTATCCTACGCATATTCAATCCATACCCCAACGCATTTCACCCTACGACCAGAGAACAGATATTTGGAACAGATCATTTTTTGGTTGTTTTTAAGTCGAAAAATGATCTTCAAGTAGTCAATATCACCTGACGACTATTCAGATCACTTTCCCCGTCGAGAGCCAATCACGAGTTCTTGTTTCGTCCACACAGAGATTTTCATTTCTTCAAATCCGCTTTGATAGAGTTGATATCATTTCGTAGTACACACACACTTTGAAAAGTAAAAACAGGACGCGCGAGGAATTCATTTCATAGCGTCAAGACGTTTACTCGGCGGTGACGGCGCGGGCTGGAACAAAGAGAAAAGTATTCGTCAGCATTTCCCTGCACAAATACACCGAAGAACCCAGGGGGATGGAACATACTGTAGACGGTCATCTTGGAGTGGCTGACAACCTTCTTGATCTGGCCCTTCTCCTCGAGGTCAGCAAGGCACTGGCGGGCCAAGCTGCCGTTGATCTTGAGACGGTCGACCAGGGTGGCAACAGTGATCAGACGGTAGGACTGGACATCCTTGTTGAGGCGCTCAGCGACCTGCTTCTCAAGGACGACGGCGTGCTGGGCCTTGTCCTTAACTATAGACCGGGAGAAAAAATCAAGTCAGTTTTCTTGTACTCGAGTCAAAAGACGGTTTGCGTTGTGCGTGATGTCGCATCCTTCTCATCGTCGCTCTGTCGCCCTCGCTTGTCGTCGAAAACCTTTTTCTTTCCCTTTTCATGTCGAGTGTAGGCGACCGGCGACCTTTCTTTGCCATCGGATCGGGGAGAGGAGAGATGTGCTTGAGGAACGGGGGAGAGATGATGATAGCGTACCCTTGCCCTTGGACCACTTCTTTCTGGTAGGAGCCTGGTGAAAAGAGTATTAGCATTTCATGCTTGACTATAATATCGCAGAGGTTCCTGCGACTCGATATACCAAGTCGCAGGCGCGCAGTCTAACTCACCATTTTGACGATCTGATGTAGCTGTTCGACGGAGGAGAGCTGCACAACAGAGCGAACGGCCGGAAACTTGAGTGCCCAAGTGCGAAATTCGAGTGGGGGATGACTCAGCGTCACGTGGGCTCTAACCCTAAACCCTGGACGGGCGGCCGCCGCCCTCGGTTAGCTGCGATGGCCAGGGGAGCCGCTGCCATTGGCTGCGGGAAGACTGGCTCTGGCCTCATCTACTATGTAGTAGATTATTCTTGGCAGGATGATGTAGATAAACCACTTCTAAAGTTATGGCAGGGAAGTTTGGAGTGCTGCTAGATGTCTGAATTATCCATCGCTCGCTTTTCCACTGCTAGCCAAGCTGGAAACACCAAGTCATATTACTGGTCTCAGAGTCCACGCTCAATTAGAGGTTCCGTATTGATAACGATTAGATACTAACTATACAATGCTTATACTAGAACACGTCAAGTTGACCACTTTCCAAAGTCGCTCAGTCGCTCAGAAAGCCGAACACAGTTTCGTAAAGCATAGATCATCACGCCATAAGTCCAAATGTCCATCCATCCGGATCAGCGGCTCGCCGACGGACCAGAGCCGCTCGAGGCGAGCTTGCCATGGATTGTATGAAGGACATGGAACTGCGGCTCTTCATCAACCCCTTCAATGTAGCCAAGCACATAGTCCTCGGGTGTCCCGAACCAGAACCTTGAGTCCTCATCTTCATCTGTCGCCATCCATCTCGCATCGTACTTGCCGGTCTCAGTCCGAGGGATAGGTATGCGGACTGTGAGAGGCTGACTATAGGGTGACCAGTAGCGGACGGCAGAGTATCCGGGGTTCGCAGTGGTGATGAGTAGTTGTGCCTTGGTAGGATGCCATACCACTTGCCTGACGTTGTGCTCGTGGACCAGAGCAGACAGAAGGACTGGCGTGGACTCCAGGTCCCAGATCCAGACAATGTTTGGCCGTGTTTGATCGACAGTGCTGAGAAGCGCGCCACTAGCACTGAACGCCATGATCATTACACCACGGGGCGGGCCAGAGACTTCCGCGTTGGCACCAAACGCCGAAGAGCTCGACGCCTCAGCATACTCCAGCGTTCCGTCTTCAGTCGGTCGCTCTCTCCAGATACTGGGCGAGTTCTGTTCAATCTGGAACACGTGTGAAAGAGTCGTAGAGCAGGAAAACTGACTTGGTCAGCATGTCAATCCAGGTAGTTGAGCACAACGTAAGCCTTACAGTTGTACTTTTCAAAAGATCCACAGATCCATCCACCTTCCCGATAGCTAGAACCTCAGAGACCCCACGCGCACTCGAAACCGGACTCCATTCGATACTTCGAACACCCAAATCAAAAGAGCTATCCAATCCCGGTAAGCCCGTATACGTTCGGAAAAGCTGCCCGTCGGCCGTGAAGATGAGGACTCTCGTGCCCGCACTCGCAGCATCCCACACGGCGATCCACCTCCCATCCGAACTCCACTTCAGACCCTGGGCATCCACCGTCGGCAAAATTGCCCGGCCGATCAGCTCGTACGACCCAAACTCGTGAATCGTCAGGAGATCAGCAGCATCTGGCTTGAGGAGGACCGCCAGCTGCCTCGTTTTCGGTCGGTACCCGAAACCATTGGTGGTCGAGAACTTGGGCGCTTTGATAATCTGGCTGCGGCCGGTGTCCAGCCCAAAAATGGTGATCTTAGTGTTCCAGGCATGGAAGTAAATGATTTCATTCTCGTCGCCGCCGAAGTCGATGTAGGTGGCACCGGGCTCGATGCTCTCGATCTCCGCGTGCAGCTGCAAAGAATTCAACCGCCAGACGGAGACACGGGTGTCACTGGCACACAGCAGGCGTCTCTCCGGGAGACTCACCCCTCCGTAGGAATGTGTGCTTGATGGCAAGACAGGCTTGGAGCGGGAGAATTTGAGGGATCTCGAGGCATTCTCTTTGAGCCTCACAACTTGCACTTCCTTGAAATCCGAAGAAGTGGGGTTGAGATGGACCGCCAATTCTCTGCCATTCAGCTGTGCAACATAGTCACCATCCTCAGAGAATGCGATGGAAGGAGATACTATAGCAATCAGTATAAAGTGGTTGCCGGGGTTTATGCCTCAACTTACCACCCGACCCTGCGGCGTCCATTGTTGATAATCCGTAAATAAGTAGAGTCTGAAAGCTTTGAAGCAGGGTGCAGATATCTGGGGACTTGAATTAACTCCCTAGACCCTGGGCATACTACCATCTGCCTACTTCAGCTCTTCGCGCTCGATACTGCCGATGTTTCTTTGATAAACATATCGAAGGTTTCTCCCCAAACATAAACCCACTCGCGGAAAAGCGCTAACTAAAGCCTCATTATTGGATTATGTAAGCTCTAGCATAGTTGCATTGCTTGAGGCACGACTGGCACATTCACAAAAGAACAAGAAGTGTGACAGAGATCAGTTGCTAGGCAGGTCCCTGACCACCTTGCTCAACATTGTCCGAGAAGTAAGGAAGTCTATTTTGACGATGTAATCATGCAGGTCGCCTAAAAAGTGATACGTCAATTTGGTTCATGTCGCTGGATAAGATAAGAGGATCAACCTTGTTCCGCCCCGAGATAAATTATCGGTGGAAAAAAGATGCCCGCCATCCGCTCTTGTACCCCAGGTCTCGCTATCTTGTTTCGATTGTATGCGTCTGACTTCCGACTGAAGTGTGATCCACTATATACATCCAAGCTTGCTACTGTTCAATTCTCAAAATAAAGCTTTTACGACTTCTTCCCCCTTGGCTGGGGCGAAACTTCTCTACAACACTGCGTCCCACCCCGCTGACAATGGCAACTCCCGAGACGGCGCCCGCGCCGCCGCAGAACAGCCTCGCCGACCAAAATGCGCCAGCCACCCTCACATCCGAACCGAAGACGAAGCTGCTCGGAAGAGACTTCTACAAGAGTATTGGGAGTCCGAAGTACATCATTGCGCCCATGGTAGACCGGTCTGAATTCGTAAGCTCGCCCTAACCCCCCCCCCAGTGCCTAGCCGCATCCCTACGCCAAATTTTGCCATAATCGAAAGCTAACACGGTTGGTGCAAGGCATGGCGCATGCTCACCAGGTCCTTCTTGCCCCCAGAGGAGCAGAAGCAAATCCTCGCCTACTCTCCCATGTACCACGCCCGCCTCTTCCGCGAACAGCCCAACGTGCGCGCGCAGCACTTCCACCCGACCCGCGCCGCCGCCGGCAAGGAGGGCGACGAGTCCCTCTTCCTCGACGGTAACCCAGCCATCGACCGACCGCTCTTCGTGCAGTTCTGCGCCAACGACCCGGATGACTTCCTCGAGGCAGCCCGCCATGTGGCGCCGTACTGCGACGCGGTGGATTTGAACCTCGGATGTCCCCAGGGCATCGCGAAGCGCGGACACTACGGGGCGTTCCTCCAGGAGGACTGGGACCTGATCTACAAGCTGATCAACCGCCTGCACACCGAGCTTCCCATCCCGGTCACCGCCAAGTTCCGCATCCAGGAGACCAAGGAGAAGACGCTGGAGTATGCGAAGATGATCCTGTCCGCCGGCGCGAGCATCATCGCCGTGCACGGCCGACGCAGGGAGCAGAAGGGCCACAACACGGGCGTGGCGGACTGGAGCTATATCCGCTACCTGCGCGACAACCTGCCTCCGGAGACGGTCATCTTCGCCAACGGCAACAATCTCAACTACGACGATCTGGACCGCTGTCTGGAAGCCACCGGGGCGGATGCCGTAATGAGCGCCGAGGGTAACCTGTCCGATCCGTCGATCTTCAGCAAGCCGCCTCCCGTCGGCAGCGAAGGCAGGGATTACTGGCGCGGCCGGGACGGAAAGGGCGGATATCGCATCGACGCCATGCTGCGTCGGTATCTGGATGTGCTCTACAAGTACGTCCTGGAGCAACCGGTCCCTGAGCGGAAGCCGCTGTATCTACCGTCCGACCCCGTGGAGGAAGAAGCCGCGCAGGATTTGGAGGCCGAGGAAGAGGATGGCCCACCCAAGAAGAAGCAGAAGCGCGAGAAGGGCAAGCGGGCGGCCTCCCCCAGTCTGGGAGTGATGCAGGGCCACCTCTTCCAGCTCCTCCGTCCCATGGTCTCCGTACACACCGACGTCCGCGACGCTCTGGCCAGATCGCGCCCCGGCGACATGGCCGCGTTCGAGCATGTCCTGACGCTCGTCGAGAAGGCCGTCAAGAAGGGCCTTCAGGAATACGAGGAGTTCCCCGAGCGCTTCGAGCGGTCCCCCGACGAGAAGCTGACGGGGTCCAAGGCGACTATCGCGGAATACGGCCGGCCCTTCTGGGTCTGTCAGCCGCATATCCGGCCCTTGCCGGAGGAGGCCGTCGAGCTTGGAGCTCTTACCGCCAAGGGGTCTGTGACCACCAAGAAGAAGCAGCAGCCCAACGGCACGACGGACGGGGCAGTCGAGGCGCCAGCCACCCCGGTTGCCGATGGGTCTGCCACTCCTTCTGGAGACTCGAAAACGGTGTCAGCCATGGCTACGCCCGATCCTTTGGTGAGCGGTTGAGAAATGAATTGACGTGATCTTGTTGTTTTCCGGAGTAATGGGAGGGAAAGTCATAGCATTTATACCCATCTCGGGCATAGCTTATTGTTGTTTCTATATTGCTTTTTTTAGACCGTTTAGAACTCGTCGATAGACCAGAGTATATAAAGAGTTCTGTTCGCTAATTTCTCTACAACAGAAGGATATCAAACAAATCAGGTATCTCGCATCACAAACCTACAACCCGTAAACCCAAACAACAAACCGTAACTCAACCCCCAAACTCCATTCCCCCAAAAAAGCCCCCACCCCTAAAAATCCATAACAAGCTGCGGCGCCAACTTCTCAAGATCCTCAACCTACACAGCTCATTAGCATACACCCTTACCGCCAAAGCCGCCCCCAACTCAACATGCAGAAGACAAAGGGGTTAACAAACCTCCAAAAACCCATCCCCAACACTGGCCCCCTCGCCGACGGCCTCGCGGCGCTCGAACGCGGCCCGCGCCAGCGCCTCCCGCACAAACACATCCACATACTTGGCGACGACCGTGTTGGCGTCCTTGGCCATCTTGGTCTTCGGGTGCTGGAAGTGGTGGTGCAGCAGCCGCGTCAGCAGCTTTGCGGGAATGACGGGCTCGCGCGTGACGATGTCCTCGGCGGGATCGGTGGTGTGCGTGATCTCTGCGAGGATGTAGTCCGGTTCCGGGGAGGAGGAGGGAGAAGCGGGCGTTTCGTTGTTGTTTGCGTTGGAGGTGTTGGAGGTTTGGGAGGCGGAAGGGGAAGCGGATGGCGTGGGGTTGGTTGAGTTTGAGTTTGAGCGAGAAGGGGATGTTCTTCGACGTTTGGAGCGTGGGTTGTTGGGGGGTTGCTCTTCTGCGTCCGAGGCGGAGGTTTCGTTGTCTGTGTCGGAGGGGGGAGGTGGGGGGAGAGTGGGTTTGTTGTTGGGTTTGGTGGTGGTGGATTGGCGGGTTTTGGAGGATGAGGCTGTGGTTGTGGTGGTGTTCTTTCGTGTCGGGTTGGGTTTGGTGGAGGATGAGGATGCTGTGGTGGTGGCTTTGGATCTGGGCTTGGATGATGCTGATGCTGATGCTGATGCGGCTGCTGCTGGGGCTGGGGCGGATGAGGAGGCCCGGCTTGGGGGGTTTGAACGGCAGTCTGCGCCGTTTCTGTGTGGGCTGTCTCTCGGGCGGCATTTTGTTGTCGGTGTAGAAGTAGAAGTAGCGCCGGCTGAGCTTTATTTGCTCGTCAGCTTATTTTGAAGGTGGTTTGTTCTGGTTGTGGTGGTTGAGATGCGGAGATGGCGTCGCGAAACACGTGCGTCGCGGAACTAAACGCGAGGTCATGTGATACAATCATGATCACTATCACTTCGATCATAATGGCAGGCTTTACTAGCAGTTGAATTTCGAATTGTTGGAAAAGGTGATTTTCTTCGGACTCGGAGTTGCATTAGGAGTCTCGGAATTTGTCTTTGTGAAGTGCATTTCACAGCTGGTTCGTTTTGACTACTAATCTGCCGCCACTATAGATACATATTTCCCTTTCCGGTCGATTACTAGGATGCACATTTAAATGCACGGTGACTTTTGCTTCACAGAATGATTCCACAACCCCACAGTACGCTTTCGGTGCCACTGACAGGATGAGATACTCAGCAGGTGTCTGATTCGGGCTACGAGGAAATCTATGAGGTCCCTAACAAGGCAATCATGCCAGAATTGAGTCATTGCATATCAACATAGTTCGAGAAAATTAAACAACTTTGAGGAAATTATCATCAAAAACACCAGCCAGACCACCAGTAAAGAACAGCCGAATGTAGCGCCTCATATCATGGTAACAAAGCATAGTCCCGAGCCGACGCATCCTTCGATTCCACCCCCTCCATCCTGCTGTCAGTCAGACCAAGCCAGAACCCAGTCTCATGTCTCCCAATCGATAACCGCAATGCAACACCCCGATAGACACACCATCACGGCTGAGGCTGTCTCACAACAGTAACCTCCAGCCCGGATCTCACCAGAATGTCCCTCGAATGAGCCCAATCCACCTCGAACAAGCCCGAGTTAAACTGACACGACCAGAGCCTTCCCAAGTTGATCCCCTCGTCACGGAGTTCATAGAGCTGTTTCTTCAGATCCGCGACCGCAAGTTCGGTATTTCCCAGCAAAATGTCGACCGGCGAGGTGGCTCTCCCATACTTGAACGACGTAAAGAGACAAATGATCCAGTGCTGATGCCCGCCGCTGGGCTCGTAGTCGCCGTGCTGGGGCGGGATGATGAGCGCAGTGCCTTCGGGCAAGCGGAGTCGGCGCGGACCTGTCTCGCCTGTGACGACCACTCTGTGTTGAGCGTATTGTAGTCTTGGCAGTGGGTACGGTAGACGATATAAGCATTGGGATACTGGAGATGATGGAATTATGTCAGTGATTTGGCCAGATTGAGATGGCAGGCTGGGGAGCATACTTTGTCTCGGAACTTTCTAGCAATCCCCTTGCCCCAATGGCCTTGACAGTTGCAAGCGTCTAGGATTCATCAGGATCAGATACTCCAGTCCGATGAGCACAACTTACGGATCAGTGCCGCTCCATCGGGGGCATCGAATAGATTGCCTTCTATCTCCAGGATACGTCCTTGGCCATATTCTGGCTCCATTTTGCGTAGTTAGATCCTTGGAATGCAAGAATGAGTGTGATCATAAACTGAAATTAGTAGAACAAGGTTGGTAGTGAAAGGGAGGTTATTGAGAGTTAAGGTAGAATGAGCTAAAGGAGAGGAAGAAACGGTTTTGATATTGGACCCCACTCGGTACAGCAGAACTACAAACAAAAAGGAAAGACAGCCAAACCAAGACAGAACCACAAGCAAATCACAGCACCAATTTGAACATCAAGCCAGACAAAGACCCAATCCAACGACCGGATTCACTGCTGGTCATTACCGTTATCCACCGGTGCAGGTTGACCTGCATCCTCACGGACTGCCGAAGAAAGAGAGCTTCTCGCCTTAGTGGTTGACCTGGACCTGGACTTGAACTTGAGTTTCTTCCCCTCCTTAGAGGTCTCGCTCCCGTGAGACTGATCCTCGGCCATGGATGCTGGCGACTTCTTCTCACTGAAATTCCACGAGGATGTTGTCGCCACAGAGATCGGAGCACTCTGCGTGCTACCGGATTTCAACTTTCGGCTCACAGTCCGAGAAATAGTTCGAAAAATCCCCGTGCCACGCTCCAGATTTGCCAACTGACCCATCACAGTCACTCCGTTGGTTGCAAGGTTCTCTTCCGGCATCGGAATGTATAAGATGATTCCGCGGTTCGGCGCTATGTTTAGAATCTTCTGGAGCTCCATCTGAATCAGAATGGTACTGCGGAGATTCATTATAGGCGCTATAAGAAACGGCAATGCAAACACCTTCATCAGGTACGCCGGCGTATTTGAGTTCCCGAAGTAAACACAAGCATCTTGCTGAATCGTGGTCATAATGTAGACCTCGGGCTTTTCAAGAATCTGTGCCATCCTTGTTGAGATCGTCGACGCCAGCGTGTCATCGTCCTTGACCTGAGGTTGAAATCAGTGTCCAGTTCAGATTCCACCCATCCTATACCCTGGCGAAGCAACGGGGACCAATTGAATGCTTACCCTGGTATTGATCTTGACCTCAACGACGGTCACAGCTTCGTGAGTAATCTGAGTTCTTGGGGAGGTCACCAGACCCCTGATATTGAACATCTCCTCGAAGTATTGACTTTTGGGACGCAGCACAGACTCTCCCTCAATACTCTTGCGTTCGAGATGTGTCGGCTTGACATCAGCAGGCACACCTGGCTTGACGGGGTACATCGGATGCTCATCGTCGTCCTTCTCCTCGAGGAACATGGACGGCCTCACAGGTGCCCTATCCAGTTTATTCTTCTGCTTCAAGGTCGCCTCGGAGATGGTTCTGGCACCGAGGGCTTGGAAGACCATGGGCGACTGGAGCACAGGAACCGTGGGGGAGATACTTGAAGAGGACGTGGACGGACCGCTATGTCTCTTGCGGAAGGAGAACTCGAATCGGCGACGTCTTGGAGTCATTGTGCTGCAGGGTACACTAATCAGCACAAGTAAACCGACAAAATGTCCTCGAGTCTGACTAGTGATGGGTGGCCTTGCACAAGTATGCACGAGTAAGTGGGAGTTCGAATTTGGCCCAGCGATTTCAATACAAATACTACGAGCTACTCGTCCTATTATGGAAGGCGCTACTAAACCCACGCGAAGAGGGAAGGTGGCTTCCGACGCCTACCTTGGGATATTTGCTTGTATCCGACAAGCCAGCTCCCGAGCATTCAAAGTACGTCCTCTTAAAAGTTGTTCCATTCAACTAAGAAAGCCCAGATAGTCAAAGGCCGAGTTCCCACTACAGAAGACCTTGTCAATCCTCCTCCTTCGATCCCACACAATCTCTTCATCCGACCGGCGTTTGATATGGAGGATACGATGTTGGGGGATGAACTCCTCGTGCGTCGTCTCTCGCTTCCACGTGCTGAAGCTGGCTTCTAGGCGTCCCTCGAATCGATCCTCATATACAATCACGAAATCATCACTATCGTAGTCTGGGTCCCATATTATGCGATTGATGACATCTTCAGTTCGAGTCTCAGTATAAAATCCCCTCCTTGGATGATGGAATCGGCTCAAATGGGACGTACCTGCAGCAGGTCGTAATCGATTCTCCACCGTCGCAGGTTTCTTGGGGATTTGGCGGGCGTGGATGGGCTTCTCTTGGAGGATGAGGGTTGCGACTCTCTCTGGAGAGCTTCGTCGGGATGAAGAACTTCTTCCTTTTGATAGCGAGATTAATGAAGGCGTAGTGTCCACAGTAGGAAGGACTTGTGAGACTTGCTCGGGAGCTTGGAGAGCCATGATTATCGGCATATGTGTACAGCTTCTAAGGACAAAAGAGGTTTGTATTGGAGGAATAATTTAATTGATACGGTTACAGCAGCGGAAGCTGGATTTTAATGATGAAGTAGAGATGTTGTTGATGATGGGGATCTAAATCCTGTCTAGGCAGCCTTCAGGCGGCATACAAATCTCACGTTAGCTGGAGGCGGACTGTCACCAGTGAGGAGGAGGGAGTTAGTGATATGCCATGTGCTAGGGCCGCAGATTCACGGAACTGATTCAGTTGAGTGATCCCTGGTTTCACATGGAGCCAATGGCTGGCTTGGTTCTTCGTACTGGTGACTCAAACCGTTGGTGGCGGAGCAGCTGATGGCACGAGTAAATGCTACATGACTCACTGCAGCTGTGCCAGGAGAACAGGATGTTCAATAGTGACAAATGGATCGGGAAACCTTGACACTGAGAACCCTGGAAAGAATAGAGAGGATCTGACTGAAACGAGCGACCTGACCTCCAGCTTTATTGATAGAGATTGAAAATGGTGACCCCCGAGAGGGAGATATAAGAGCCCCCAGCTGCCCGACAACGTTAACCCTTGGAGCGCTTGGGAAAAAGGTCACTTAATACTGGTCAACTTGATTTCCGAATTTGCAGATGACAGGGAGATTCTCAGTATTATCCCTGAAACTATCTTCTATCAAATTTCATCGTAGTAAAGCCCTGGAAATAGGCCTTTCCGCGTAGGTAAGAGGTAGAGTAGTTGTACGAAGTTGTGCCCGCTGTTCCTCCACCCGCAACTCCGCATCTTTGCACGCGCCGCGCCTGACGCGTCGACCGGCAAGAAAGCAAGACACAACCCCATCATCGACTTCTCTCTTTCCTCCACCCTAGCAGCAGATAGTGCGACTACCTGCCAGCCATGACAGACGCCACCACCTCCTTGCTCACCGAGCATTTCAGCTACACGCCTCTAGTAAGCAGAATCCCTTTCACCCCCCACCACAAAAAAAAACCCCATACACACGCGCGCGCGGGCGCCTCGACTTCACCACCAACACCCCCCTTCCCCAACCGGATCTAAAACTATGACTGACTTCCACACCCCCCACGAATTCTAGTCCCTCATCGACGACATCATCAACTCAATCAACAATCTCATCTACCAAGCCATCTCCAGCCTCGAAACCGGTCTCCTCAACACTCCACCTGAACGCCTCGGGTTCGCGCACGCCGCCAACGAGTCCACGATCCCGGACACCGACGAGGATGGCAACGTGATCTACCCGGAAGCGCAACTGGAGATTGAGAATGGCTTGCACCAGTTGGAGACGCTCCTGGAGGCGACCGTCGACAAGACGTTCGATAAATTCGAGCTGTTCGTCCTGCGGAACACGTTCAAGGTCCCCGAGGACCTTATGGGTTGGATCCGGTTGAAGCATTATGAGGTAAACAACTCGTCTATGACGAAACTTCTCGCCCTGTTTGGCTGACGCGCCGCTCAAAAAAACATAGAATCTTGACCTGAATCCCCCGGAAGATGCGCCCACGCCGGATACGATCGCCGCGCAGCGAAAGAAGCTCCTCGAGACCAAGAAGTTGAATCGGGCGTTGAAGCAGGAGAGCGCCCAGAACGACGCGATCATTGCGCAGTTACGGCAGATCTTGTCAACTAAGGACCCGAAACCGGACACTACGAAAGCGGGTGACGAGGCGGCGGTGCCATCAACTACGGCAAACACGACGAAAGATTTGGACTTGTCGTTCCTGACGTCGAGCGCTGCGGCGCGCCAGTTGCGCGTCGGGGCGGTGGCCGGATCTAATAAACAGCACACGCCCATCACCACGAACACTATGTTTATCCTGTCGCAGCTGCCCGCGCTGCAGGCGCTGATCAAAGAGCTCCGGCCCAAGCTGGCTACGCTGCAACTGTCGGAGGATAAGATGGAGGTCGACTCCAAGGCGGATGCGCGACGCGAATACATTGAGAGCAGAGTCAGGCTGCACCTGGAGCGCTCCGGGCAGCTGGCTGCCGGGAATGAAGTCAACCCGGTGCTTACGGGCCGCAGAGTCGACATTGCAGAAGCGCAGGCGCTGGAGTCTGTCATGGGGCTACTTGCGGAGGGTCAAAACAAATCCGCCTAATGGAGACGAACACAAACAAAGCAGCAAGTCTTCCCAGTGATGCACGTTTTATTCGGGGGAAAGTTACTTAAAAGCTTGCGCAATTGTATGGCGAGGAAGAAGAACTATGACGACCAGGTGACGCTCCACGTCTGCTGATCCCTCCGGAAAGGCACAACATCCACCTTGTCCGACTGCAGGATGTTCGGAATCTTCTCATCCTTCTTTTCGATGACAATGAACTCCTTCTGCTCCTCGCCGATACCATAGAACTGGCGGCCATACTTGCTCATAAAGCCCTCAAGGATCTCGGGCGTGATGTCCTCCTCCTTGAGGACGCCGTTCTGGCAGGCCTGCTCGAACGCGTCGATCACAAGCTGGGTGGTGAAGGGCTGGGTGAAAACACCGGCCGCGATCTTGTCGCCGCCTCTCTTGGACACGGCGGGGTGAGGGGCGCTATCGGAGCCGAAGAAGAACTTGGGGTTGCCGGATGCAGCCGCTCTCAGCAGCGCGTCCCGGTCCGCGGGGGTCTTGGCGACGGGCTTGCAGAAGCAGAACGGATCTCCAGCCCAGGAGTCGATGATGATAGACAAGTGGTGGGCCGTAACTATTTTTTTTTGGGTCGCCCAACAGTCAGCCCGACATTCTCTTCTACAACATTGCATCCGCAAGGGGATGAAGGGATGGGGTCTCAATCCTCACTTGTTCCCGCCACCGTCGGCCCACACTTCTTCACGGCCTCCACCGCGGCGGCGGTGGTGCAGTGCTCCAGGATGATGCGCAGCTTGGGGAAGCGCTCATGCAGCTGCAGCAGGGTCGGGAGGAACCGCTCCTCGGCGGTGAGGACCGTCACGTCCCCCTTGGAGGGCACCTCGCCGTGCAGGTTGAGCACCATATCCTGGCGCTCCATCTCCTCGAACACCGGGTAGAACTGGGTGTAGTCGACCACGCCGGAGGAGGAGTTGGTCGTCACGCCCGCCGGGTAGCTCTTGACGCCCGTGATGCCGCGCTGCTTGGCCTCGATGATCGTCTCGGGCGTCACCGTCTCGTGCAGGTACAGGCTCATCAGGTAGTTGACGTTGGGCTCGATCGCTTCCAGACTCTTCTTGTATTCGAGGGCCCGGTCGACGGTTGTGACGGGGGGGACTAGATTCGGCTGGAGGCAACAGATGAGCAGGAGGATGAGGCTGAATGATAATGTCTTATGTGATAAATCCCTTTGTCGAACCTACGATTCCATGCACAAACACGGGAGGGGGATATGGGGAATGGGGGAAAAGTTACCATAACAAAAACAGTATTCACACCTCCCTGACGGATCGTAGGCGTCACCAGCTTCATCATATCCCCATCGCGCAGGTGGACTGTATTTCCCCCATTCGTCCTAACACGTTAGCCTAGGCACTCTAAACATCCCACTCCACCCCCAATTGACACTGTCCACGCTGTATCCCAATATATACACAGCCCAGCATGCGGGGCATTCAAAAGCAAAACAAAGAAATAGAAACGCACCGTGGAAATCCGCCGACGCGGGGAGCTTAACGCCCTGCAACTTGGAGAGGGGCATGGCGGACTGGTATCGTTTGGTGACGCAGATGCCAGAAGGAAAAGATCCAATCAATCGAGGATTGAAGATACGGAGACGAAGCATGAACAGGTCCTCGAAATTGTAAGGTTGGAACTTGCAATGCAGCAAAAGGAGAGAAAAAAGTGCCTTTGATTTGCTTTGCAAAGTCCCGCCTTATTTTTCCCCGCCAAAATTTATCCGCGCGCGCGCCGCGGTGTGGGGTGAGTGACCGCCTGGGGTTTGATTGGTTGGGTGATAGGGGGGAGTGTGGTGGTGGTGATAATGATGTCAGCGGAGGTGCTCCGGTTTCGGGGCGATGGCAGTATACGTTGTTGTGGAATGCTTAGTACTTTATAGTAGCTATCTTGTACCAAGGGTAGATGAATCAAGCTTAGGGGTAATTCGAGTGAAATTGACTAGACACTTGAACGGAGTACTTCAATTTTGACTGAAAGTGAGCGAATGATACGTCAAGAATAACAACTAACTAGCACAGATCAACAGATTCAGAAGGAGCAAATCAAGCTGGAACGATTGTTGTTTGACAAGAACAGAAAAGCAAAGCACACAGCAACAAATAACGAACAAGATCGTTTTCATCTCTTCTCGCTTGTGAGATCAAGGGTTAAGCCAGAGGCCTGAGCTTCAAAAGCCACCAGGTTGGCCACCGCTGGACTGGCCGCTCCCACCTGATCCACCAGAGCCGCTGGACTGGCCACCACCGGGCGAGCTTCCTCCAGTTGAGGATGAGCTATCATCCACAGCTTCGCCGCCGCTGGAGGTGTAGATGAAGCTGTAGTTGGGGTCATAGGTGGCGGAGACATTGACGGCGATGGTGATCCATCCGAAAAGCCCATCGCTCAAGTCGTCGCCAATATAGACATAGTTCAGCACCGGGTCCGAGGTGGAGTTCTCCGTCTCGTCGGAGAAGACACGGTCCTCAGCGTTGGTGGTGAGGGTGACCGTGTTCTCGTTGTACGGGGATGTGGCCTCCACCGCGTTGATCAGGTCCTGATCCCAGAAGATCTGTCCAATATGAGCGACAGTGCCCCCGGTGATCGTGTTGTTCTCCTGCACAGTCACATCCAGGTGAGCCACCATGTGGTGGTGGGTGGTGCGGCCGGAGTAGTGACCCGGGAAGAGGGTGTTGAAGGTGACGACGCCATCAGAGTCGGTCTTCTGGATACCCCGCAGGAAGGTCGCGTTGAGGTTGGAGGTATCGGCAGTGTTTCCGTTACCAGTGGCGACGAGACCGGAATAGACGCCTGTGGCGTTGCAGTTCCAGATGTCCCAGTAGAGGTCGGTGATCGGCTCACAGGTCTCGACGTCGACAAATTGCCCCTCGATGGTCACAGGCACACCAGGCTGGCTCTCGCGAAGGTCCGCGCGGACGTATTCGCCTGGAACGTAGTACGGGCCCGTCTCGCCCTCGGGGTTGAGGACGCAGCTGCTGCTACTGCCAAAGATTTCGCTCTCGGATGAGTCGGCAGTGATACCATTGCCGGTCTCATTGTGGTTGGTGGCGAGAACCGAGGAGGTATCCCGCGCAGCGAGACGCTTGCGGTGCGAGTCAACCAGGGCCCTACGGCGAACCTCTGCACGGGCGTTCAATCCGCTGCTCTCGAATCGAGCGGCGCACTTCTCGAGCCCGCGACGCATGTTGGCCTTGAATTCCAAAAGCTCGGAAGCAGCGCGCTTCTCTTCGTGGCCAGGATGGGCGGTAGCCAGGACCGCACCTCCAACAATGGCCAAGTTGGCAACGTTCTTGAAATGCATCTTGAAATATTGAAAAGAATCGCCAGAGACGAAGGGAATATGTCTAGAAGACGAGGAGGAGGAAATTGCCACTGAGGGAGTGAGAGTTGCTGCTTGACAGTTCGTCTTCTGCATCGGCTCGCACACCTCTTATATAGGTTTTATCGCCATATTGAGGTTCGAATCAAGAGCTTGCTGCAGTCCAGCTTCATCATCCCGTCTAGCTACATCGCAATCGCTATGCGGAACCGATTCCTTGATCAAAGCGACACTATACCCAGCGGCCGCAAAAGTCTCTAACAAAAGACAACCGGCGGGATGAAGGCGTATGCACCCCTGCTGTGTTTTCTGGTGTTGATTGGTGAGATCTCCGAGAAAGTCGCTAGATTTGATGCAATATATTCGACCTAATCACTGATGACGAGTCCCTCCCACATGCCAAGACCTAAGGCCGTGGGGACCCTGCAATGAAGCTCACCTGCCAAGAACCACCAAGAAACATCCTAGCGACATCACTTGCCCGGACGACGCGTGTTATTAGTTTTGATCAGGGTGTGATTGGCTGTCTTTGGTCTGACGAGTGTGAAGATCTGCGCTCTAGATGGGGTCCCGGCTCCTTCTTTTTCCGCCGTCTATCAAACACAGCCTTTGTATGCCCTCAACCCTGGAGTTATTGGAGGCAGTGGCAGTAGCTCAGGATTAGGCTATCACACGGAGAATCATCCGCCGTCTGGGCAGGATGGCGGAGGACTGGCCTATTCCTAGGCACCGGCTGGTGTGCTGCTGAGCTTGTGCTGCGCAATGACAGCCCTGGGTTTTGAGACCTGGTTACCAGCCCTTAAAGCGACGATACATCAACGTCCGTGACGGCTTTCATAGTAGTGGAAACCGGACCTGCACTTCGCGCGCGGACCACATGACTGAAGGTCGGGGTATCTGTGAGTAGCGCACCTGTGAAATGCGGGACCTGGTATGGTATCCTAATGGGGACAAATCCCGCTTCGATTAAGTACGGGATCTCGGCCCTTGAGGTTGACGGACAGCGGTGCCGATCATTCATTTTGCCAAGCATATACCATCAACATTCCCCACGAATACACTCAAAGGACTCGGGTGGCGGACGTTTGGGGAGATTTGGGCACGGTATTAGAGAGGCACGGGATCAAATTCGGCCAATTGATTGCCCCAAAAAGCGCCTCCTCGGCCTGAAACCGACGACGTTCAGGACTACGCGAAAGCGGGGACGAGTCTGCAAGTGCGGAATATCTTGTGGGACGTAAGCATTGAGCTCTGCACATGTTTGATCGCTTGCGTGCGAAAAAATGACGCTGCCATCAGACGGGGTCCCGGACGCGTGGTGGCCAAGCCTTAGGACAGGGGTCAGGTCTAGACAAGTCAGTAACCCTAGGATAGACGCGTATGATACTTTAGAGGACGAGGAGGCATTGGACAGGAATGTCCGGGTCATATGGAGAATTGTCCGGAGCGACGGAGAAATGAAGGCTGTCAACTCGACATGTCTGGACATCAACACAGACGGGACAGATGAGAGGGGGGCAACAATCAATTAGTCTCTTACAGTCATCGGGATAGCTGCTAGTTCGATGTTGCGGGGTTATTTGGTTGTTGTGGTGACAGTGGCAATAGGAACATGCTTAAAGACTCTAACGAGATACTGAGCTATTGTCGCTTGGTGAGAGACGAGAAGTGATGAGTGGTGGGTGGTGAGTTAAGGTAGTGAGCAGGAGCAGCGGGTAGCTTTGGTTGGTGCTTCAGGTCGTGATTCTATGGAGGACCCTGTTAGCTTCCCTCTTCAGAAGGCGAACTCACGGGGAACAGTAGCTACGAGCAGCCACCGATATCCCCTTCCCTTCCAGTGCAGCTTTGGTTACGTCAATCAGGCTAATATGCCTCTTCTGATATGCTGATGAGTGATGGCCCTAGATGCTGTGCAATGACTGAGTCAATATGTGATGCCGATATTAGGAGTGGGAAGTTGAGTTCCTCAAGGCCGATTTCTCTGCGTAATTGCTATCATCCAAGCACTTTTGTAAATACCTAAGTACTACGAGTCAGCGTATTACTTACTAGGAGATGTCTTGTGCTAACCCACTAGATCATTGAACAAGGATCTTCGCTAGAGAGCAGTTGATCAACGTCGTTTGTTCAAAGACCAATAATGCCCGCTTAAGTGCGCTTTCGAAGAATATATCACTTCAAAGGTGCAGCAGCTCAGTACCTTTCTACAGTCTTTCCTCTTGTTTTGCTCATCTTGATTGTTCGATGGTTTCTTAGGGCATCTTACAATGACATCGATGCCTGGCTAGCCGTCCTTTCCAGCGACCAGTCCAGTAGAGGGGCAAGATAACCGCTTTCACTTATGCGTAGTTGTCTGGCTTGGTGAAGCCTGTTCAAAAGCTTCGAGCAACAGCAGATCGTATTTCTTTATATCTCTCACCTTCTGAATGAACCTAGTTGCATTGAATGTCCAATAGTCCATAGTGATCTTGAAAAATGTTGCATCATTAACTATGATCCTTCGAGAATCATGGCTGAATGTGGTCGTGGGGCTCGAGTGCAAGAGCATACCAGAATGTGCCTTTGTTCCAGCCTTCTTGGAGTATAGAATAAAAGTGGTCCCCATGTTGCCATGAGCGTTTTGATATTTGTTCCGCAAAGGCCTGCTTGAATTCGCCATTCAGGCTCTCGTATGCGTCAAAATCAATCCCATCGACAGATTGGTCCGACAAGCAATACGGCGGATGTCATTTCTGCTGGACGAGAACAAGCCCATTCAAGATCAACTAGGTATGTAATTCATTATCGACAAAGATATTGCTTTGATGGAGATCCGTCAAGCTCATGTAAAATGGGCCTCGGCGGAGATCGGGACGGAAGAGGAAGCTTGAACAGCTCTCATCACTGAGAGACGAGCCATCTGGAATAAGGCGTCTTGAAAATGATCCACCCCGATGAGAAGAGGTGCACCTACCTTCTGGCCCGTTGATAACCCGTATCCATGTAGTTGCGGACCGGGGACTCCTGGATAATCATGCTGGAGCCAGGTGTAGGTACCAACTTCACATAGAATTTTCTCATCAGTGTTCCCTGGGTTGACGTTCTCTCCAACCCTGTGTGGCAGCCGCAAACGAAGTAGAAAGCTGGGGCGCCGCCGATAGTTTTCAACATAGATTGGGTTGCAAACATTGAAGGACCCAGAAAGCTATTCGCTTGGTCCGGCGATGCGGCAGCTCGTCGGAACCAAATTGAGATGGCGTGTGACCACAGTTTCAAGAAGCTGGCTCTTTCGGCGCAAGTCTCCGAGATAGCTATCCTGCTGATCCCAATAGCTCAACGAGTGCAGTACATTGATTTCAAGTTCTTTGGCTGCAGAGTAGGTAATCTCACCACGAAGCAGACGACGAGTTGTTGTGGTTGTTGTAGTTGTAGATGGTGACATGCTATCAAACAAAAAAGATGGTGAAGGGTTGAATGGATTCTATTCGAGAACCTTACCTACCTAGTACCAATCTCAGATCACCTGTCGTAGTCTTTTTTTCCAAACCAATAAGCCAAGAAGGAAGTTCAAAGCCTTATCATCCCCTTAGGTGCCTGGAACGCAGCGTTCCATGCCTATTTAGGCTATCACGTGTATGACATGTACTCCGTACATGTTCCGGCTCGTTGAAATGACACACCAAGGCTAGATGTTCCTTGACTATTCAACCGGCCGGCAGTTTCCAATGCTCACTTTCAACATTCCCTTCCGCCATGTAACTCGCCATGATAGTCGTGGGCGCTTGACAAGGTGAGTGCTTCTGCTTCTGTGGAGACCGCGGTCGGACGACAAGCTTACATTAACCTGCAGACAACCGAGAACTCACCCTTCTACTCCATATATCAATCAAACATGGAGGATGTCAGCTTGATCCTTCACAAGCACAGTCCTCGAGGAACCGAAACAAATCATCATCCTTTGTTCGCTACGAGCAACAGTTAGAAAGAAGGGTGGTGTATACCAAGCACGCCTTTTCCCGCAATTCGCGCCCCCGATTCGTGGTCGTGAGGTTGCACCGACCGCTCCTAAGCGCCCGGGAAGGACAGGACTGCATGGTGCTTGTTTGAAGAACGATTCTTCAGGGAAAAAGAGGGCGGCGACGAGCAAATGAACTGCTTAGAATCCTGACGGGCGGCAAACAGCCTTCGATGGCCGCTCCTGCAGCCCGCAAAGGGTGGGCATTCAGGGTCCGCTGCATTATTTTTGGCAACTAAGGAACGCTCAGTTGCAGGCACAGACAGACGCTTTCTCGCCTCGCAACAGGGGAATAAATACCCACTGTCCTCAGGCATCTGCTTCTGTTCTTGCTTCTCAAAGTATCATCTCCTTCTTTTCTATTTTCTTTCTTTCGGTGATGAGCCTGACCGGCTTGCTGGCAAGACCGACTTCTGCTTGACGAATTCACGTTCACTTTACTTTGCTATTTGACATTTGACTCTCACTGAAAGAGCTGTGCCCTCTCTCGCTTCTTGTCTCTGACACCTTCAAATCTCCCCTCCAATCTTTTCCTAACTCCAAGCCATGGACTCAGCATCCTCCACCGTGGCCGCGTCCTTCACCTCGACGTCGCACGCCTCCCTCGAGGCGGAGTCCAAGTTCCTCACGCGCACTCGCTTCCTCCGCCTCGTCCGCCTAGGGCTGGCGATCCTCATCTTCTGCGTGGCGATCCCAACCATCGCCTGCGAGGCCGTGGCCCTGCACCACTACCGCCAGACCTCGCGCTACAGCCAAGTCTGGCTCTACCTGTGGCCGCTGAACCTCGACCTGCGCCCGGCCAAGGCCCTGCTCGCCTGTGGCAGTGTGATTGCGTTCCAGACCCTCATCTACATCATCGCTGCCCTTGTTCCATCTGTCAGTACACCGTCCTATCCCTACCACAACTATCAAATATAGTACCTGCTAACAAATCAAAAACATTTAGCCCCACTCCCACATCCGCCGACTAAACCTCCTCGCCGCAGTCACGGCCCTCTCGGGCTTCATCACGGCCCTTGTGGGGTTCGTGTTCGTGATCTACCGCCCCGGCGCGAGTGGCCGCAACGGGTTCCACGATACCGAGACTCTCCATTCTTGGACTTGCAAGTGGACGGCGTCTTCTTCCAGTAGTAGTAGTAGCAGTAGCAATGTCCCTGCGCATTTCGCGTGGGACTGCGCGGTGACGCATGCATCGTTTGTGTTGCTGGGGGTGTTGATCGGGCTGGAGATCGTGCTGGGCGTCGTCGCGACGGCGGGGCTCTGGCTGGAGCGGAATGTGTCGCGGCAGCGGGTGACGAAGAAGCCTTCGTTGGAGATGGTAGGGATGGTGGATACCAAGGTTGATCGGTATCCGGGGACTTGAGGGGGGTGTTTTTGGGCTGTACGACGAATGATGTTGATGATGGATGATGATGATGAATGGGGTTACCTGGGGTTACCTCACGCACGGACTTTTGTGGGGATGCATGTATAACTTCATGGTTTTTGGGCCGGATGGGATATAGTAAATGCTCGTTGGATATAGGTCTGTATGTGCTAGTCTGGCATCCACGCCTTGGAATTCTGATGTAGCCTTCCAAGCTCTATTCTCTTGTTCTCTCAGCTGGTAAAGCCAATATCGGCTTCAAAGCTCCTTTAATACTGCAAATCTGAAGCCCACACGATTGAGCGAGAGTATGAACGAATCAGCCTGTCATGAGCAAACGATCATAGTTTAGACGTAGTGCTCCTGCTCTTCGCACTATCCATCCTCACCCCCTCGTCATCCTGCTCCTCGACCTCCAGCACCGGCAACTTCTTCGGCATCATCCGCCGGGGATTGGTGCCGGGCACGACGGAGTACTTGGAGAAGTCCGTGACACCACAGTGATCGCGCAGGAAGTCCTCGTCCAGCGCGAGCATGCCATTGACGATGTGAGGTGGAGCGCTCAAGATCCCAAGGATCGCATCGGAGAAGATAGTCTGGTGATTTTTCGTTAGCATACCACACAACCTCGAATGCTGATCCCATCCATGGCAAGAGGGAGACCTGGGTATCTCACCGGCTTCCTCAGATCCGCTTTCGAGCGTGATTCATCGTTCCCCGCGGGATTCATCTCCGTAGCAGCGGACTGAACAGCCTGGTTTCCCAACATCATCAGCGTCATCATCCACACAACCCGACCGTCTCTCCTCGAGAAAACTCGAAGAAAAGGGGGAAAAGCCATACCGCAGCAGGCCAAATACTTGTAACAGCCATCTCCGTCTTCCCCTCCCTGACAAAATCCATCGCCAGCCCGCGCGTCAACACACTCATCCCGACCTTCCCTGTTCCAAATCAGTCAGATCATCACAGCCTACATCCACCTCCCCCTCGCCCCCAGCCCCCCGAAAAGTAAGAAAGAGACCCATACCAATCGCATACCCCGTCTTCCCCCTAAAGAACCGCGAATACACCGGCGGCGAGACCACCACGATGCGGCCGCGGTTGCCATTCCGCTCGAACACCGGCAGCACCGCCTGCACGGTCGCATACAGCCCCTCCGGGTTGACCTGCTGCATCAGCCGGAACCGCTTGACGGGGGTGTTCCGCACGGACGACCACCAGATCGCGCCCGAGTTGTACACCACCACGTCCAGCCGGCCGCCGGTTATGCGGAGGGTTTGTGCAACTAAATCGTCGATCTGGGCCGGGAAGCGCACGTCGACGGGGATCGGGTAGGCGGTGTTGGGGGTGAGGAGGTTGATCTCCTGGGCGACGGTTGTGATGGTTGAGGCGGGGGAGTTCGGGTCCGGGGGGAATTGTTCTGGATCTGTGGTGGTGGAGGTGGATTTGGCGGCGATGATTACTGATTTTCGTGGCCCAGTTAGTTGAAGTTGAAAGGTGATGGCTTTGGAGGTTCTTGGGTGTAAATGTAACTTACCGGTGTAGTTGTTCATCGCGAGGTCGATGGCGATTTGTCGGCCTATGCCTCGCGAAGCGCCTATGATCAGGGCGACGGGCTTGTTGGGGGATGCCATTGTTTTGTCTTTCGGTTGTGAGTGTATACGAATAGCTTGGCTACTTCAGAATGGTGGGATATCGATGTCAAGGTTTCTTATATGCTAGGTCTGTCGATCCATGTCATCCTCGGCTGAGAGATTATGATTAGTCGTCGTTCGTCATGGCCGAGTCTTGGGATTGGGTAGCATGCAGGGTTCGAAATAGAGGTTTGGAATGTGACCAATTAAGCCAGAGAGACCTCTCGAAAAATGAAAGAGTCATGCTCAACCGCATATGGCTCCAAGCATGATCTCCACAGTTTGAAGTCGTCCCATCTCTATGATGGAGACTCAATCTAAAGGCTTATCACGATAAGGGACGGAGAACTGTAGCCTCGGCTCCCCGCACCTTGAATTTGATTGGCTTATCAACTTACATAAGCATCCACCTCAAGTGTTATCGCCTACCGCCCGGCAGAACTACACCTTTTCATGCTCCAGCTTCCGTCTCCTTCTCCACGATGAAGCTTGTGAACAGACCCTCACATTTACTGACTCGATTTACAACAAACGCTCATCATGGCGCCGAACCCAGAGCCCACCCCGGCACCAGCCGATATCATCATCGACGAAGATGAGTACAACTCGGACTCGGACTCAGATTTCCAACTCGACGACGATTTCGCCGCCCAGAACGACGACGATGCCGGGTTGACCTCGTCGGACGAGGACAACGACGAGGCAGCAGCATCAGCAGCAGCAGACGGACAACCCAAGGCAAAACGGCGGAAGACGACCACCACTGCCGCCACGCAAGATTCCGCTACGATTGGGGAGTTAGATTCCGGCGACGAGGCTACGATCCAAAAAGACAAGGCGAAGCGGAAGACTGAAGATGACGAGGAGGAAGAGGGAGGCACGGGGGGATTTGTCCGAACGCGGGCTATGAAGATGCGCGCGTATGTTTCTCAGTCTTTCTTCGCGTCTCAGAGACTGTTGGTCATATGTTTGTGCTAAACTATATGATGGGATTATCTAGGCAAGACGAACGCAAGCCCCTCGCCAAGATCGACGGCGCGACCGTGGACGTCGATGCGCTCTGGGCGATGATGAATGCACCGGAGAACAACAGCGGGCTGCACGCGGGCAGCAGCAGCAGCAGCAGCAGCGGGAAGAACGACGACAGCGCACCGACGACTCAGAATGGCGACGTGGAGATGCAAGAATCCTCCACCGAAGCAGACCTCCAGACAAAACAGCAGCAGAAACCATCGAAATATGCCGAGGAGATGGTCAAGATCAAGCGCACCTACAAGTTCGCAGGGGAGATGATCACGGAGGAGAAGATCGTCCCGAAAGACTCGGCCGAGGCGAAGCTGTACCTCGCCAACAACGGCGATGCGAATGTCGAGACGGTCACGGTGGCGGCGATGGAGGATGCCACTCTCACCACCACCACGGAGGATTTGGCGATCAAGCTACGAAGGCCGCTGCGCCGGGTCTCGCGGTTCGACCCCAACCCGACCGGGGCGATCAAGAAGAGCTGGGAGAAGCAGCCGGCCGCCGGAATCACCGGGCAGGACGAGAACGCCCGGGGCCCGAAGATCAACACGGTCGAGAAGTCGCGGATGGACTGGGCCGCGTATGTGGATAGTGCGGGTCTCAAGGATGAGCTCAAGGTGCACAGCAAGGCCAAGGAGGGCTTCCATGGCCGCATGGAGTTCCTGGACCGCGTGGGTGCGAACATTGAGGAGGAGAGGCGGAACGCGCGTCTGAAGGGATTGTGAACAGGGATAACTGCACCGCTTCTTCTTCTCGTTGCATACGAATTGCAACCCCCAGTATCCTTTGGGACCGCCAATCAGAATCAGCATGTTCGACACGCACACTCTGATGCCCATGTTGATATTGCTGTCGGGTTCCCCGTCTACGGCATCGGGCATCGAAAGACCGACTAGCTAGCTGCTTTCACAGGCACCGATCGCTTACAATCTGTGTGTGTGTAAGCGATCAGACTGGCGGACGAACCATCTCGCCTGCGCATAAATCTACGCCCGCGGTGAACAAACTATCAGACCCACTACGCCATGTCAGTCTATTGACTTGGCCCCATGCACTTCGCTTATGAAGCAAAGAACTCGATTAGACCGGATATATACTTGGCATATGAGGCTTGATGAAAGTTGCCAGCCTCCCACAGCACGCCGTTATGGTCTTGACGAAACACCCCATCACCAGCGGCCGACTGGCAAGCGGCTTTCCGTCCAATGAGACTACACAAAACGCACATGTGTCTAAATCACAGATGGACAAAACTACCCAGGAACATTAAACGGGTTTCCTTGCTCATTTAGATGGTGTGGACTCTCGCCATATAGCTTTTCCGGGCATTGTGTTCCATCAACCAGTTTTAGGACACACTAGTGGTAGCATGTACATACAGTAAAGCACCCACGAAACTTTTTTGACAACCCCCAGCCCACTCCCTCCCTTTTTCTTCAATATTGTTCCACGATGTAGTCTTGGGATCACACTACCCCTCTGGTTCTACGCGAGCTGTTTAGCTTGACTTGGGCAGATACTTGATTCCCGAGCTAGGGCAGTTGCTGGTCTCCACTGAAAAAAAAAAGGACACTTATTAGTCTTCTGTTTTAGTTTGTTCGTTAGGAGGATCCTTAACTTACGTCTCTCGGCCGCAACATAAGTTCCATCGATCGCATTACCCGCGACGTTGAAGTAGTAATAGAGCTGGGACAGTTCCTTGCTGCTGCAGTAGACGTAGGGGGCGTAGCCGTCGTGGATGGCAGCAAGGGCGTCCTCGATGTCGCTCAGCTCGTAGGTCTTGCTCGAGCTGGGGGTGATGCCCGCGTCGGCGAGGGCCTTTTGTTACTGGTTAGCTTGCTTCAATTTCCCGTGGTTTGCCCAAATCAAATGGGTCGGGGGGATACGGGGCAGAAACGCACAGTGTAGGAGTCCAGGGTCTTGAAGAGCGAGACGGTCTTGTCAAAGAAGTCGCCGACCTCCTCTTGAGCGGTGTAGTCGGTGTAGCAGCTGGGGTCGATGGTGTTGATGCAGGTTCCTACGAAGTAAAAGTAAGTTATAGTTGAGTTTTGAGGGAAAGCTCGGGGGTTTCATAAGTATGCCCGGACTAAGAAGCGTACGTACCGTGCTTGGCCCACTCGTGCTCCCAGAATTCTTCGTTGCTTTCATCGTCGCTCTGCCAGTAAGTGTCCATGTACTCGAGCAGCTCGGTGCGGCCCTGTGCTTCGAGGATTTCCGTGATGTTGGTGTACGCGCGCGAGGCGTCGCAATTCGATTGGTAGGTGCCGTCGCAGTTGTCGGGCCTGGAGTTCGGTTGCTGTCAGCCAATTTGCGAAGTCTTTCAATGGGCAGCGGGGAAAGAGTGGGCGTACCAGAGACCGTGGATGGTCCAGGAGTCACTGGGGCCGGTGACAGGGTCAGTGTCCCAGAATTGGGTCTGGAGAAGGGAGCCACCAGGGTATTCGAAGCAGCAGGAAGCCTCGTTGTCGGTCTGACAGCTGAGAGGGCTGTCGGAGGGGCAGGTGTCAATGGTAGCTAGGACACCGGAGCTGAGCGCACTCAGGGCGAAAACACCCATGGCGGGCAGAAGAGACATTTGAGGCATCGTGCTGGAATTGAAAGCGAGTAAGGGGGTTATGGAAAGCTGCTGAGCGACCTGCGGATAGACAAATAAAACAAGATGCTATAGCAGACGACAACGAGAGAAGTTGGCGCTACTTATACGCCGGTGATGGACAATTGTCCCGCCTGCCTCGCTCATGGCGCATACTCCTCGGCTGTGGTAGGGAGTCTCTCTCTCTCTGCATCGTGATGAGGGCTGATAGCAACATGTGCTGATAAGGGATTGCTGATTCGCCAGGTCCGACCGATAAATGAGTCGGGAGTCGGACGATGCTGTAAGGACCCGCAGGGGGACTGGGGGATTGCGGCGATGAATGGCCAATTGAGCGCGACAGCGTCATTCTGCAGCCGGAGACTAGATGAAGCTACGACGGGACTCCTTCGGAGAGGAAGAAATGGGAGCAGAAACCAGCAATCGATAAAGGTTGGTCAAAGTAGTGTGCATTAGGATGGGTTGCATTGCTCTTCCCGTCGGGGCAGCTGGCGATCTGATTCGCTGTGGAGGGAAGATCTTCAGCTTCTAAGGACCGGTTTAATTTGGAGAACTCCATCTGTTCATCAACCAGGCTGGACGAATGGATTTGGGGAAGCCATGTTGGGTGATGCAGTGTCAACACCTGCCGCCAATCACTTGCGATGTGCGATGTTGATGGAGGTTCGCCGGCAGGCCCAGCACGGAGTCGATAATCTCAGTGGATGTCTGCGTAGATTAAAGGCTGTCTATTCATCCCTGCAGAGGTGTATAGAACACGATAACAAGGCATTGACTTGGCATCGGAGCTCCCCGCCCATGTCTTGTCGATAAAACTCTGGTGTATCGGAGCATGCCATGACAATAGATTGATCGAAGGCGAGAGAGGTATCGACCGATAAGGCCGAAGAGCCATTGTAGATAGAGTCCGTCAACTAGCGATCGAGACACATGGCGACCTCGGACCCTGATAGCCAGATGATGTGGGACGCATGCTGCTCCTGTGTATCGCACAGAGTCGAGTGCCGTAGCTTTGAAAGTGATTTGAATGGTATTGAACCGTCGAGTCGCGGCAAACCAGATGGAAGAGAAACGCGGAGTGGAAGAAGCAAAGAGACTCACTCGATGCTCGGCCCGCACTGCAGTAGAGAGAGAAACAATATCTCAGCCTAAGGCATCGACAATGCCAACAATTTTTGAGTCACCGTAGCGCACGCCCTATACCAGACATCGGATAAAAGAGAAAATAAAACACTCAATGAGCCATTGTTTACATGCCAGATCAATGCAGTCAGACAATCAGAACACTCTATACCAGAAACCTGTTCATCATTCATCAATTATCTCCCCAAGCACAACGATGATATCCTCAACGTCGAACCCCAGCCCCCCGCTCCCCTACCGCATCATCCCCGCCCACACCCCCGAGCATCTCTCCGCCATCCGCTCCCTCTTCCGCGCCTACGTCCAATGGCTGAACATCGACCTCACCTTCCAGGACTTCGAGACCGAGCTCAACTCCCTTCCGGGTAAATACGGGGCCGCGTCCGGAGGAGACCTTCTCCTGGCCTACAGCAGCAGCACACCAGAAGAGCACAACATTCCTCTGGGCTGCGTAGCTCTCCGTCCCCTTACTCTACGATCATATCCTATAGAGCCTAGTCATGATGATGGTGACGATAGACCGGAAGTCAAGTACTGTGAGATGAAAAGGCTGTATGTCTCCCCGGAGGCACGGAGGATGGGGTTGGGCAAGGCGTTGGTGGAGGCGGTGGTGCAGAGGGCCAGGGAGCTGGGGTATCAGGCCATGCGACTCGACACGCTGCGGTCGATGGAGGGGCCGTTGAGGTTGTATCGGGCGGCGGGGTTTGTGGACGTCGGGCCGTATTATGAGACGCCTTTGTTGGAGGAGACGGTGTTTTTGGGGTTGGATTTGGGGGGGAAGGAGTGAAGGCAGAGTGTGTAGATTGTGGGTAGGCGGCGGCGGCGGCGGTGGTGGTGGTGGTGGTGATTGTTGTTGTTATTGTTGTCCTCTGCGAATTGGCAGAGTCCGACCGCCGGGGTTGGGTTCTTACTCAGTGAACAGTCTCAATAGAAAGCAAGAGAAAGGGCACAATATACCTATTCAACCATTTTTTACGGAAATCGAATAAATAAACACCGGAAGTAGGCCAACGGCGCACAAACATCACATGTCGTTCTCTGAATCTCCAACAACACATACAAGTATCGACCGCCGACTAGCTACTTGTCCTCTCCGAACTCAGACTGTTGAGCTTGATATTTTGGAATGGAGCACTCATAGCAGACATCTTAGCCTGCATCATGCCAAAGAGAAAGAGTCATCATAGTTCGGAGAAGCCAATCGAGCCAACATCAACCATTCCTATCCATAGATAAATCGAGGTACCACAGCCAAAGTGACCATTTAACCCGGGTTCACCCCGTGTGGAGTTGAACCATCCAGACCTCTCTCGCCACCACTAATCGCCCCGCAGTGCCCATTCGCCCGCTCTACCAACATCATGTAGAGAGTTGAGGGTCAGGGGTAGTAGTAGTAGTAGTCATGGGTCGACCATTGTCCGCGGCTCTCATTGCGGAAGCACAACGATTGCAACCAAGAGAGAAAGAAAATACAAGGACGAAAAGAAAAGGAATTCGCACTGTTGGAGAAGTGGTTTAAATCATACGATCTGAGGTAAGCAGGTTTGGCGTGTTGGTCTGTGCTGCGCGGCCTGCTTAGTGATGAGGTCAGAGGATCGCTGGTCTGCCTAAGGCATAAAACGACTACTATATATGGATTGCGTGTGAGCTGTCACAACATCCCAGGACGGTCATTCACACAATTGGAAAAAAACTTCTGAAAAGGCTCGAACTACTGCTTTGAGGCTGCATTGATCCCATTAAGCTGACTCGCAAGCCTGGAGCCACAATTCATATCCGGTCTCATCCCATTATCTTCGCAGAGGTAATTACCAGTATGCCACTTTGCCGTTCTATGAGGCAGATTATAGTGGGGAGAGACTCGATGGAAGTAGAATTAGCAGGTCAAACCAAGGCAGTCGCTGCGCTAAGGCACATACTACTCATGTTGAAATGGATAGTCTGATATAGTGAGAGTCACCTGAGATGGCGATGCCATGGCAGGCTCGCAGATTCTCTGTGAGTGGGGATGGGAACTAGTGCTTCAACAGACGCACGCACTATGGTCTGACCGAGTACGTAGACTGAATGCGTTGCCCATTTGCAGAGGCGTACATAGTTTGGTGGGTGCCTTCTGACTAATGGATGTCGAGAAGGACGAACGGTGCAATGGGAGAGTGCATGGAAAAAGATTCCCGGGAATCCCCGGTGATCGACAGTCAGCAACAAAGCCCCGATCATGGAAACACAGACAGAGGAAGATTTGGAGGATTGGTATGTGCACTCGTGCAATCCTAGGGAGGCTAGCTGGGGTCCAGTCTAGCTCAGTGTAGATAGGGCAGGCTGTGGTTTTCTCGATTTAGAAGCTGCACTTGAGCATCTGAACTTCTCTCTATACAATAATGCTTGACATGAATTTCCAGGCACAGCTTGGTACACAGGCCCAATCGGACTACGAACTTGTGTAGGCAAAGCCATGTACGACAGCTACAGTTAATTCCTTAATCAGCAAGATCTATCTATGAGGTCGTAGTTTCGGTAAGATGCTCGTTGCATCTGCAATTCTAACGAGCCCTAGTAGACCAAGTCATACCTGGAACTCGATGGGCATAGGGACCGCAGAACCAGATGGGAAAAAGCAAGTGGCAGTGGAGACACTGAGGATATGTGGATCTCGCGCTCATCGCGCTACAAAAAGTATGAGCGCAAAGAATGGCATGGAGATCGCCCATGGCGTGTTCGAAGAGGCATCTCAAACAAGAACCACCCCGCTTACACCAGCACTCAATCTGAGGGCGTGTAGTCTTCGAGGTAGTATCTGAAGGTTGTAGATAGCTGGTGGCTCTGGGATACCACCTAGTACTTTGAGTCTGATCTGATGCAGGAGCTCTCTTGAAATGACTAGGGCTGATGAGGAAAAAGTCCCGAGGCATTCCTCATCTGTGTTGGCGCATGCCTGAGCAGTAGGTAGCAGACAAGCCCACAAACATTGCCCAGGTACATTCGTACATGATGAGTACATCGCACGCTCGAAATTTCTTGGAACGCCAACCTTGGCACAGCTTGTATAATTCAAGAGCCCCCCGGCTGTATGCGAACTAGTCGAAATTGGGGCGGGGCCTGCAGAACATGCATGCGCATATGGTTTTCCCATTCAACACCGTTCATGCCAAGGCCAGCTCCCGATCCCGGCATGGCCTCTTACAGTAAGTCGCCAATCTGGACAGGACAGTTTTGCTGCACCGATCCACATTTGGTGACACGATCTCACACCTCCACAGGGGCAGGGGTTGGATTCCATTCCACATGCACCTTAAGTATCAGTTCCCGAAGACTAGAAGTTCGCGTAGTGGAGGGTAGCCTTTACCCTTCCCCCGGATTGTACATCACCCGGGTCTGAATTTGACGCGTCATGGATTAGAAGCCAAGCCCAAAGCCACGTACTAGGAACTAGTACTTTGTACTTTGAGCACTAGGATCCTGCTGGCACTCAGCTAGCATGAAGTACATTACAGGTACTTTCATAGAGGCTACAGAGTACCCAGAGTAGAGATGTACTTCATAGCACAAATCCCATATCCGCCGGTTTGCGGGATCGAGGAAGTCGAGTGTGATTCTCGACTTACAAAGAATGACCAATCGAGTATGACTTCTGCCAGAACATATTCCACGTTGAATGCTGTAGCATTATCGAAACGAATACTAGCCAAGCTGCATTATAAGACCTCTTATGGACGCTCACCTTCAACCTGATTCTATGATTGGTCATCAAGGGTCAATGTCACGAAGGCCCGTCACGCAAACGGCTTGGAGCTGGACCGATCTGTGTAGCTGATCTCGCGTTTGCCATGCGCAACGCTTGAACGATCGTCTAGGGAGTTGGTAAGTCGAGAAGACATGAGGCTTGGATTGAGAACAGACGGGCTAGTCTATGATGCTAGCCAGTTGTACTGGAAAGCACGCTTTGGAGACCGAGCCGTGCAAACGGGGCTTGTATCATCGATAGTGATAGGCACCTAGTGGCTTGCTGGGCCTCTGTCAAAAGAGGAACATATAAAGTTTGAATTCTCGCAGTGTCGCCCACGGACAGAGCGATAGTCCAAAGGGGAAAGATGAGTGCATAATGATAGACGGTGTGTTCCACCGCATGGATCCCGAGATATCCATCGAATTCAGCGTGTATCTCTCCCGATCGAATGGTAAGACCGGACGGCAGAGAGCCTATTAGCGGTGTGCCGTGGCCCAGTGATCTGGGACGGATCGGGGAAAAAGAGTCAGATGCCAGCATTCCGTGTGACCTACCCCATGGAGGCGGAGATATGTGCTGCTGTAAACATCATAAATAACTGTCTAGGGAGGTGAATCCAATATCTTCAGGTCTCAGACCTCGATAACCACGGGACTTGGCATGTGGGACTATAGTTTTCTGGACTTCAGAGGCTTGAGGTCATCCTGGTTGCTGGAACTTAGAGTGGGGAGAAGGAAGCCGAGAGCTAATCGAGGTAGTGCACAAAAAAAGGTGATGCGGGGATGGGGAGTTGAGGACGGAAAAAGGAGATTGATTGATTGTGTTTGTGTCTGAGAGCAAGTACAGTACAGTACATTCTCAGTACTACCTAGTACGTAATCTCAGTCTGTAACTAGCCATCGGGAAGATCTGGCATTTCCATTGCAGTAGAGTAGTTGCTTTGAGTATGAGTATTCGAGTACTCCGTGTACATACGCTCTGGGTTCCAAAGTGGTTGTGTTTGTCTATTTTGAGTCTAGACTGCCTGAGGTATCGGTAAGATAGAACAGATCCATGGGAAGCGGCAGACCTTCCGCCAATAGGGAATCTGCCATTGTGGGTGGAAATACGGGCAAGTGGAGAGACAGGCCCATCATTGAATGTAAACATCTCCACCCTTTTTCAACTAAACAAAATAAATGTTTTGGACATGATACATCCACCCTTTGACCCCCAAGTCTACACAAATCCATCCTTTTTGCTTCCCCTGAACACGACGGGCTGTCATTGTGAGACAGACTTTACCTCGGTCCGATCTTGCTAGCCCCACGCCTGGGCTAAGTTGATGTGTTCCAGCTCATCCAACGGACTCTAAAAAAACCGCGCTGAGCCATCGAATCTCCACTTGACAGTACATTGTATGGGGGGCTCAAAACCCCCAAGAGAGAGGAAGAGAAAAAGTTAAAAGAATTTCAAGATTTGATCCATCATAATACAAGACAAAGGAAAAGGGTACTGCATCAGACCTGACAGAAAAAAAATAGCTCTTTCATTGCTTCCTTCTCTTTCCACTGGCGTTCCATAGTCTTCCTTCGGGCTTCCATCCACAATCCATCGGTTATTAGCTCCTCGAATGGTGTCCAGTAGTCAATAAGATCAATCAGATCAAGCATAGCAGACAAACAGCGATCACTTGAAGTGTACAAAAACTATCCCATGCTTTTGTTTCAGCGTTCAATGCATTATTATTCGATATAGGGATAAGCCTCCTCAGCCTTCCAAAGACACATTTTTGGGCACTGGATGGAGAAATGAAAGAGGGATAGGAAACGAACTTTGAAGAAAAGAAAAAGCATATGCAACATCAAGACCAACAAAGGAAATTATCCGGTGTATATAACCAGGTATGTTTTACAAAAAAACGCCGCGAAGCGCCGACCGGGTCTGCCTGGCCCGGTGTGTCTGTCCCCATCTAAGACCAAAAAGGAGAAATGGCAACCTGTTCGCCAAGGGTATCATGGTTTGGTCCGCCTGTCCTAATCTTCCGCCCGCTTTCAATCGTCCCACTCGACACTCATGTG